ATTGGTGCAAACCATAGACTGAAGGAATGATGGGGAGCAGCTTAGTGTTTTGTAGACATAGCAATGGAGAGCCTGGATGGTGAGCTCTGTACATGGAAGGTGAGAGCCACAATAGATGATGTACAGGTGTCCAAGGCCAGGGGTCTAAGGAATCCCCACAGGAGGGATGAGAGGAGCAGGATGGACCTCTTCGGTTGCCGGAGATCGCACACAGGAAAGTGAAGTCACGGCGCACCGGAAATGACCTCAGTGGAACACAAAGAAGCATGTATCCATTCACGGATACATCCTTATGGTGAATCTTGCTTTTATTGCTCCATTAAACTGTTTTATATTGTCTTCTGGTTATGAACATTATTGTTTTTTATTCTGGACATTTGCAAAGAGCGCTCAGATTTTTTATGCTTTTCTTTTGGCTACATACTCCCAATGGTCATTGGAGCAGATGTGGGATTGCCTCACTTTCCTTCACTCTTGTTTACCCTATGTTGGTTGAGGGCATTAGTGCCCAGTTGTTTGTTTTTGATACATGTTTCACGCCTGTCATTTATGCTCATAAATTTGCATAACAGGCAGAAACAATGGGTTCTGTGTTAAAACTTGTTTCTATCCAAGTGTTACTTTAGTTGTGAATGGAGGTTTTTTTTTTATTACTTTGAAGTGTCAAGTTTCCTGTCAGGTTTTATTACTCTCTGTAAGGACACTGTGGATGTTCACCTGCTCGATTTGTCCTGGTCATTATTACTACCAGGAAAGAAAGTAATAGCAAATCTAATATTTTATGGTTGATAGAACTGGTGAGGGGAAATACTCCAATATGAACACCTACTCCAGTGACAACTGTGTAAGAGGGGACTTCTTCACATCATGGGACATTTGTACCCCCTACCTAATCTATATCTAAGTCAGGAAGTGATGGTAATTTACAATTTCCTGGACTTCTTGTCCCAGCAGCCCTTCCAGCAAACTTTTCATATGCCAGGCTATTGTGTGTTAAGTATAGGCATGATAAGTACAAAAAAAAAAAAAATACCTTCACTTTTAATTGGTGCATTTTCATTTTGTCATATGTAAAGGTAATCTCTTGAATTCATAAAGACTGGCGCAGACAGATTTTGCAAAAGTCCTTTACGTGCATTCTAAAAGTGGTCCATGCTCCAAATTCATGTATCGGTCTAGAACCTGTACCTCAATTTGGTGTATGCTGCACCACTTTTGGAAATGCACAAGACACTTTTGGTGTAGAGAGAAACACACAGATTTTGCAAAAGAGTTTGTCTTAATTAGTTACACTTTCGTAAGTCACAAACTGTCAGTATTTTATTTTGAAAAAGATGCACAATGTGAACTAGTGCATTCCTTAATTTGGAGCACAAGTCAACATCATAACCAGAAGGGTTGCATGTGCTTCATGAATCTGGAGCAATACATTAAGAAGAGGGATTAACACCTGTAAAGTGGCACATTAGCTTTACTGAATTTCCCCCAATGTGATTTTATTTTGTGGAAGAGTTAGATCCTATGACAAGTTTTCATTGCAGTCGTACCCACTGGAAAGATTTCTCCATCTACTTGTCCTGGTGAAATTTTTACACGTCACCAGTGCAAAGGTGCAGGTAAATATTCTGATGACTCTTTAAGATAGGAATTCGCTTTTATTTAAAATAAATTTCCTCCCTTGCAGGTTCAGGAAAAAAAGAATATGGAAATCTCATTGGGGCAAACAGCAAAAATAATCCAAAAGCACTTTGACCGTTCCCTATTCTATATCTAAAACAAAGTTTTGGCTATACATACAGTTAAAATTTTACATTTATGCCAACAAAATTTATAGGCAGTATGCATATTGATATTGTATTCTTGTACTTATACGTATCACAGTGTACTTCCCAAGCATATTGTCAAATTGTATGTAATCTGTCATTTCCACGATTCAATTTTTGCAGAATAATGAAACCAAAACATGTTACTTGAAGGCCAAAATTTTATATAAAATAACCAATATACAACCATATAACAGACTGCAGAATTCTTATAACAAAGCTTAATTCTAAATATACAAACAGAAAAAATATACAAAACAAAAAGATGGTCCTTCTAGAGTTTATACAAAGTCTACAATCTAGAAAATCGTAGTGGTTAACTAGAAAACAAACCCACTAAGAAGCGGTTGGTCTGAATTATGAATATGTTCCATTTGTGGTATGCAAGTGAGCTATGGGGTGAACACTGTAGACATATTGCAGATTTCCACACCTCAGCTCACACAAAGGCTTCACTTGTTGTTAACAGGGCACATAAACAAAGATTTCTGTGTGCCCTTGAAGAGATCTTTTCTAATGCAGAAAAATGCAGATCTCTGCATAAGTGCGATCCATCCATTAGTCTAGTGGAGTCCCTAGGCTGCTAGCAGTTCATATTTTCCAGCTGTGTACACAGAATGGCAGGTGAAATAACTACAGGTAATCGTTGACTGCGTGAACAGCCACAGATCGCTGCGGCCACCACTGACCTGTCATTATGGTGTACAGGCTCGGCAAACACAACAGCAGAAATCAGCAGATTTCTGGTGCTGCCATTTACACCAGGCCATATCGCCTGTGCGAATGTATCCTTAAAGTGTTACTAAACCCACAACAGTAAAATCAGTCTGTACAGTTGTGGCCAAAATTATTCAACCCCCAATGCTGTAAAGGGGTTTAGGGACTATAGTGTACATTTGGAATTGTATTCAGAATCAAATCCTACAAGGACGTTGTAACTACCCAAATGCAACTAAAATGACATCAATTGTTTATGTAATACAGTAGTAAATGGTTCTTATGTGGTTTCTTCATTGCCACAATTATTCAACCCCTTAAAGACTACCACTCTGAAGAACAGAGGTTCATACAGGTGCTTTCCATCAGGTATTGAAAACACCTGTGGATGTCACCGAGCAGCAATCAAGCATAATAAGCACCAATTAGGCAGCTTTAAAATGACTGTGATACTCAGCTCCTTCTAGACATTTACTGGTGTGGTTACAAACATGGTGAAGGCAAGAGAATGGTCCAGGAAGACAAGAGAAGAGGTGATTTCTCTTCACAGGAAGGGCAATGGCTATAAGAAGATTGCAAAGATGTTAAACATACCAAGAGACACCTTAGGAAGCATCATTCGCAAATTCAAGGCAAAGGGCACTGTTGAAACGCTACCTGGTCGTGGCAGAAAGAAGATGCTGACTTCGACTGCTGTGCGCTACCTGAAGCGTAGAGTGGAGAGAAGTCCCCGTGTGACTGCTGAGGAACTGAGAAAAGATTTGTCAGATGTGGGTACAGAAGTTTCAGCCCAGACAATAAGACGCACACTGCGTAATGAAGGCCTCCGTGCCAGAACTCCCAGGCGTACCCCCTTGCTGTCTCCAAAGAATAAGAAGAGTCGACTGCAGTATGCCAAAAGCCATGTGGACAAACCACAAAAGTTGTGGGATAGTGTTCTGTGGACTGATGAAACAAAATTAGAACTGTTTGGGCCCATGGATCAACGCTATGTTTGGAGGAGGAAGAACAAGGCCTATGATGAAAAGAACACCTTGCCTACTGTGAAGCATGGTGGAGGGTCAATCATGCTTTGGGGCTGTTTTGCTTCTGCAGGTACAGGGAAGCTTCAGCGTGTGCAAGGTACCATGAATTCTCTTCAGTACCAGGAGATATTGGATGGAAACGTGATGCAGTCCGTCACACACCTGAGGCTTGGGAGACGTTGGACCTTTCAACAGGACAATGATCCCAAGCATACCTCCAAGTCCACTAGAGCATGGTTGCAGAGGAAAGGCTGGAACATTTTGGAGTGGCCATCGCAGTCACCAGACTTAAATCCGATTGAGAACCTCTGGTGGGACTTAAAGAAAGCAGTTGCAGTGCGCAAGCCTAAGAATGTGACTGAACTGGAGGCCTTTGCCCATGAAGAATGGGCGAAGATACCCGTAGATCGCTGCAAGACACTTGTGTCAAGCTATGCTTCACGTTTAAAAGCTGTTATAACTGTAAAAGGATGCTGTACTAAGTACTAAGATTGAATGTCACTTGGGGGTTGAATAAAACTGATAATGCTGTGAGCACAGAAAAGACATTTGTGGTTATTTCATTATAACTGTTATGTTATATTTGTCTGACCTACAAGTGCCTCTTTAATGTAAATGTAAGCAAGATGACTGAATGATCAAAAGCAATGTCAAACTGGCCAAAACACTCAATTTCAGTGGGGGTTGAATAATTTTGGCCACAACTGTATATGCAGTAAAGCATGCTTGTTATACTCATTGTGGAACCTAAGGGGTTAATCCTCTGCATTGTGTAAAAAGGCCATTTGATCCTGACCTCTCTGCTCCTCCTCTGTTCAAATATCCACGTCTTATCTCGCCATTCTGCACATGCTCAGTTTAATGTGTATTGCTAGAGAGGATTTTTTTTATTTTTTTTACTTGGGAGTGCGCATGTGATCAGCACAGGGCCAATCAGCACTGTCCAGACAGAGGTCGGGGTTTTGCATCCTCCTAAAGCAGAAAGAAAACTCCTACTAGCTCTGCTGAACACTGATAGAAGTCACAAGACTGCTCTAACTGCTGATGAGAAAGAGGTATTTAGCAGTTTATATTTACTAAAATAATTGCACTTCCATGTTCTGTGTACTGTGGTAGACCAGATATAGTGAATGCATGGTCCTGGGTTTAGTAACACTTTAGACCTCTATACGACTGAACAAAAAAGCAAATACAACTGCTGAAATATGATTGCCATGGGGATCATTGCCACTTTTAAAACTCTCTCTCTAGTAATTCAACTCAATTCCTACTTTTAATTCCCTCCACAGGGTTTGCCACCTTGTTTATTTGCTCTCCTAAAATTCCTTCATATTATGCCTATGGTAATAATGGAAGACAAGTATATAGAGTTATACTTTGAGCACTGGCAACCAAGCAGATTTTGAGATGAGAAGAGATTGCTTTATGCATCACTTCATTCTGGAATGTTTATCTCTTTTCCCAGGCAAGCTTCATCAACACTTTCCTGTGAACCCGGAGGGCTTGAACTGTCACTCGTTGGCTCCCAATATTGAAGTAGTTTCCCCTATATTAAAGAAAAGCATATAGTTAGAAGAAAACACAGTAATGTAAATGCACCAAACAGCTACCTTTAGGAGGCTACAACATTTGCTTTATTATTGCAAAAAAATAAAATTATAACACACACACACCTACCTTCGTGTTAAGCTGTTACTTAAAAACTGAGGGTCAGCCCAGGATAACCTCTTCTACTACAAAATTATGCCTCCATTTTGTAGCAAAGCAGTACCAAGATGTGTGGAAGCTGTGTAACTTCACAGTCTCCAAGAAACAGATTTTATGCAGAATATACAATTTCTATCTTGTCCACTGAGAAAAACAGAGGTCTTTCAACTTTGGGATGTCCAAAAGCAGTCGAACGAAGGGGTGGGCAACACAACAAATGCCAAAAGGCCCAAGAACACAATAGGGAACTTGAGACGGCCTGCAGCTCTAAGAGCAGACATCAGATGAAGCTGTAACATCCACCTGGCAGAACTAAGGGAACAGAAGACCAGGTGGCAGTCTTGCAAATCTGCAAAACTGATTCTTGATCCTGAAAAGCCCAAAGAAGCATAGAACTAGTGAAGTGCACCTTAACAGGAAAGGGTGGAAACTTTATCCTTGAGAACATAAGCCTTGATGATGGTCCGCCTGAGGCACCTAGAGATGGTGGGACAAGAAGTTGGTACACCCTTAGGGGCCATCTGAGATTACAAAAAGAGAATCAGTTATTTTAAAGAATCAGCACCAGAGATCTATCACAGCCCAAACCAAATCCAGACAACAGAGGAAAAATTCCAATGTGGTGAACTGGAGCTGGACAGAGGGACAAAAAAATAAAAAGAAGGATATCCTAGTTTCGGTAAAAGGCAGAAACCTCTCTTAAGCTAGAAGGAAGTCCTGACCCACAACACAGATTTGTCTCTATTTAAAACCAGAAAGGGTTCCTTGGACAAAAGCAAAGCCAAATCAGACACATGCCTTTCAGATGTGACAGCAACAAGGAATACCACCTTGTGGGTGGGAGTAGAGAGAGGAATGTCTCTAATGGGTTCAAATGGTCATTTCTCAAGCACAGAGAAAACCAGATTCAATTGATAGATTCAAGTGATATTAAAGACATTTTTTTTCCTTAAAAAAACAAATATGTCCTACTTACCTGCTCTCTGCAGTGGTTTTGCTCTGAGCAGCCCCGATCCTCCTCTTCTAGGTTCCCCCCGCCGGCACTCCTGGTCCCTCCCTCCTGCAAAGTGTCCCATAGGAAGCAGCTTGAGAGAGCTCACTCCCCAGCTACTGCTGTGTATATCCATTCAGACACGGAGCGTTGCTTGGCCCTGTCCCCGCTCTCTCATCATTGGCTCACTGGCTATGTGAGGGGGAAGAGCCCCCTAATGCACGAAGGTCAAATAAATCTTTAGCATTTACAACCACTTTAAGCGAATAGTTGGACGCCAACAGTCTCTTAAACAAGATATAAAGAGCAGAAAACTGGCTCTCTATACGGCTGAGAACCAAATGCTGGCCTAGAGCTGCAAGAAAGAGAATGCCTGTGGTGGAAGCCCTGAGACTCATACCAAGTTAAGAATGTCTTCTATGTCCTTTGATAGATCTTGCCAGAAGTTAACTTCCTAGCTTTTAGCATCATAGGATTCAGACTCAGATGTTTGTCCTTTTATAACCTTGGGCTTCAACAGACATGTCAAACGCTAATGATATGGTAAAGCCCACAAAGCATCTGCCTGGTGTTTCACCAGGTTGAGGTACCACACCCACCTCGTTCAGTCCAGAGCAATGAGGAATGCCCTCCATCTCGTTTCCGCAAAGCAGATGAGAAAGAAGCATTGGTGAAAAAAAAGGCATAGATCAGGGTGCACATTGAGGACAAGACAGAACATAAAAATTACCACCTAAAACAGGATCCGATCTACATCTCTTACTGTGATGACATTTTCTGGTTGCTCCCTGATGTAAGCCAGCACCTGACTGAATCAAGATCAGAAGAGCACTCAACAGGATAGTAAAATACTTCAGAGACAGCCAAATTGACCAAAGCACCAGAATACTCCTCCCAATGACCACAGTCCCCTGCACTGAAAGAGTGCCCAGGACTTCTCCCCAGTCCAACAAGCTGCCATGAAGCACTTTGTTTTTGGTACCATCACAACAACATAAGACTGCTAAAATAAAATTAAAGGTTTAATTCTACAAACTCAGTGTGACTGAAAGACACCCCCTCAAGGATATGCAGAAATGGAAGTTACACTTTAGCTTCAGATTAAGTCAATACAACCAGAGGCAATGCAGGGTCCTGTAGATGGATCCTGCTGATCCTACATAACCCTGACAACCAGCCATGGGTCCAAGAAGCTGGTGTTCCTCTCAGATCCAGCAAAGCACTAGCCATGGAACAAGGTATAAGAATCTTGGCAGAACCATGAAGAGCATTCATCTGATTAGGTGCAGAACAAAGGAAGTCATCTGGAGAACCTCTCTCAGGAGGCTATAGATCGACAAAAGGAGGACCTATTCTCAGATGGACAAAACCCACATAGTTCCTTAGACATACTCTATGCCTAGCATACGATACCTACAGTAAAAATCTAGGGTGTTCTGCCTGCTCACAATCAAGGAACATCAAGGGTCCTCTTCACGCCATGTAGGATCTGAATCTTTCCTCTCGATGCAGGTCCTACCAATTCAAAGGAGCTGGTTTCCAAGGCATTGTCCCATAGGGAACAGAGTGCAAATGAGGCCAATACTCTCATCATTGCAATGAGCAGGCCACTTGTCCATTGCAAGGTGACCGCGAAACAAAAAAAAAAAACAAAAAACACACAAAACCCTGGTTACTGAAAAAAATAACCTATGTTAATCACCTAAAGATGTTGAAGGCTTACACCAGGAACTACCTGATTCAAATAGACCCTTTGGCCTTCTCAGAACTCATACCTGGGAAAGAAGGGGTCTAAAATAGGCCAGGAAAAAAAAAAAAAAAAAGATTGGAGAGGTTTAACAAATTTTCTCAAGTCGAACTGTTCCCACATACTCTCAGGTGGGGCCCAGGACTCTTCAGGGCACTTTCAGATAACAAAGAAATACCTTGAAGAGTAAGGTGTACTGGAAAGGACTTTGAAGCTGTTGGAGCTCTGAAAAGCTGGAGACAACAGACTGATCCTCCAAAATACAGGAGTACATATTCACAAATGTCGTCTGAAACCGGGACTCGGGGGTAAATGTGACCCGTGGCCTGGCCTGTTCTAAAGCCTTGCAAAGGCCAGAGATAGATTCTGCAGAAGATAAAGCTGTAGAGCGTTTGGAGCTTCTGAGGCAAATTTACACAAAGAATTGGGTGACTCTGGCCACAGTAGCTGTGCAGATCCCTGATGACAAAGAAGGGGACTCTGCTTACCTGATGGAGCTGACGGGGTCTACAGTGGGGTCGACCCAATAACTATAGGGTTAAAGGATTTGAGATTGCATGACCCATTTCTCCCAGCAGCCACCCCCAGATAACCACAAACCCTGGCAATCTGGCACTGATGACCACTAGACAGATCATTGTATGTGGGAAATGGAAACAGATTGCAGACAAAAGTTATATGTGGTGCTTATAGAGCAGGAACAGCAAAAGACTGGTACAGAAAAGAGATTGAGAAGTGTGTGTGATATTCCACCCAGCGGATAACATCAGTGCTTACCAGGAGTTCCTCTGAAAAACATGTTGGCAGGAGAGACTTTTTTTTTCCCTCTGGCTTCGTTCTGAGGAAAAGCTGCAATACTGTGTACATTTAGGCTCCATGCACATTGGGTGTTTTAATAATGCTGGTAACGTTAGCTGTGGAAAGTCACGTTACAAAAGTGAGTTTTTCAGCTTTTTTTTAAGCATTTTTGCATTAGAGATTAGTGGCATTTTGCCGTGTTTAGCGGCGTTTTCCTGTGTTTAACGTGTTCTTTTTTTACCAAAAAAAGTCCAAAAACCCCGGTTTGTGGCATTTAACTGCATTTTTCAGCATTAGAGCATTTTTACAGCTAAAAAAAAACACTCTTCTAGAAACCCACTAGTCCTGTTTTTTTTTTTCCAGCCAAAAAATGTTGATTACAGTCTGTGTGTGCATGGACACATAGGATAACATGCTGGGGGGGTTTACTAGCTGTAGAAAAAAAATGTCAAAAGCCAAAAACAGAAACTGTAAAAACATCCAGTGTGCATGAGGACTTCGTTCTGAAGCAATGTCTTTAGCAGATTTAAAGCATAACACCACTTTGTTCTCCTTTTCACCTGTGAGCCAAGCCTGTAATGTAAAAGAAGAGCTCCTGGGGGGGGGTTTGGGGAGAGGTACCATCATGAAGGCTGAGCGGAATTCACGATATTAGAGCTTTACTCAAGTCCAGGAATAATGCCCTCCGCTGCCAGAGGCAGAAGAGGTAGCTCTTGTTACAACACCAGACTGGCTAAAAACTGTAATAAAAAAGGTATTATAGAAGATTCCTCCCATGCATTTTTTTTTTTTTTTTACTTTAAGTGTTAAAAATACCTTAATGGAGGTCATTAGCAGGAAAACATAAAGGCAGAACGGTCAGTAACTATTTTGCTGTCATACATCAGCAACAATGGGGAGTTCTACAAGCATTCTCAGCTGCTACAGCAGCTGGGACTGCATGTACATCTGCTGTATGGACGCCAGATTACTTCCACGGCCCCCCAATAGTGTGGGCCCCCCTGCCATGTTTTCCAGGCTCTGCTGTCCTACCTGCGGGCACTGTGTAAACAGCAGTCCATTTACTGGGGCCCGCAGTAAACAAGTTTTTTTTTCTTTTTACTTTCCTTAGCTGGAATGAACACACAGAAGCGATGTATTACATCATTTCCATGTTCAACTGTTATCCCAACCACTGTGGATGGGGAATAAGCTAATGGAGCTCAGTCTGTGCTCCATTAGCTTCAGTGGAAGGCAGTTGAGACTAATACTAGACCACGAATGTTTCATTAAAGTGAACCTGTCATATAAATTTGCTATTACATGGGGCTTTTGGTTCCCTATGTGATAAAAATGAAAGTGAAAAAAAAAGTGTAACATTAACAACCAAGTACCTACACCCTGCCCCCAGGTACACATATATATATGTACATAAACACAAGTGTCAGGGTTGCCAACATGCTAAAACATAGATTGCATTACACATTACAAATCATGGCACACGCTGGAATAAGAATAATAATTTTTAAAGCCCTTAACCACTTGCCTACCAGGCACTTATACCCCCTTCCTTACCAGGCCAATTTTCAGCTTTCAGCGCTGCCGCACTTTGATTGACAATTGCGCGGTCATGCAACATTGTACCCATACGAAATTTTGATCATTTTTTTCTCACAAATAGAGCTTTCTTTTGGTGGTATTTAATCGCCACTGGGCGCTTTACTTTTTTTTTTGCTATAAATTAAAAAAGTGCAAAAAATTTGAAAAAAAAAAAAAAAAGTTTCTTTGTTTCTATTATAAAATTTTTCAAACAGGTAATTTTTCTCCTTCACTGATGTGCGTTGATGAGGCAGCACTGATAGGCGGCACTGATGGGCACTGATAGGCAGCACTAAAGGGCACTGATAGGCAGTACTAATGAGGTGGCACGGATAGGCGGCACTGATAGGCAGCACTAATGAGGTGTCACGGATAGGGGGCACTAATATGCAGCACTGATAGGCGGCACTGATAGGTGACACTGATGATGGGTACTGATAGATGGCACTGACTGGCATCACTGCTGGGCACTGACTGGCGGCACTGACTGGCACAACCGCTGGGCACTGACTGGTGGCACTGACTGGCAGCACTGCTGGGCTGCACTGGTGGGTGGCACTGGTGGGCACAGGTGGGTGGCACTGGTGGGCACAGGTGGGTGGGCACAGGTGGGTGGCACTGCTGGGCACAGGTAGGTGGCACTTCTGGGCACAGGTGTGTGACACTGCAGAGTGGCACAGGTGGGTGCACTGCTGGGCACAGGTGGGTGCTCTGCTGGGCACAGGTGGGTGGGTGATCTGCTGGGCACAGGTGGGTGATCTGCTGGGCACAGGTGGGCGGAGCTAGTGGGCGCACTGCTGGGCACAGGTGGGCGGAACTTGCGGGTGGCACTGCTGGGCACCGATCATCAGGGCACTGATCATCAGTGCCCTGATGATCGGTGCCGATCCCCGCTGTGACAACTGCCGGTTCTCGGCAGTACTTTCCTCACGATCTGACAGCGTGAGGAAAGTGCAGCCGAGAACCGGCACTTGCATTTCCCTCTGATCAGCGTGTCATTGGACACCGCTGATCACGTGGTAAAAGGCCGGTATGATTGGCCTTTTACCACATCTCGTGATCAGCTGTGTCCGTAGGACACAGCGATCACGGAGATCGCCGGGTGCGCGCCCCCTGGGGCGCGCAGGAGAGCGCGTTCTGGGGGGACGTCATATGACGTCCACCCAGAACTGGCCGGCCGCAGTGAAGCCGTCATTCGGCTATCTGCGGTCGGCAACTAGTTAAAGTGTTACTAAACCCACAACAGTAAAATCAGTCTGTATATGCAGTAAAGCTGGTTATACTCATGGTGGAACCTAAGGGGTTAATCCTGTGCATTGTGTAAAATGGCGGTTTGAGCCTCTTTTCTGATAGTCCCCTTCTACTACTGTCCCCAATCCATCTGCTGATAGTACAGAGCGCTAGGAGACACTCTGCACATGCTCAGTTTGGTGCATATTGCTACAAAGCTTTTTTTTTGTTGGGGGGAGAGGGTGCATGTGATCAGCACAGGGCCAATCAGCACTGTCTGGACAGAGGGTCAGGAGTTATGCAGCCTTATAGGACAGTCAGAGAAGACTGAAAGCTCCTCCTATATGCTTTAACCAGTGCTCAGCCAGACACTTATAGAAGTCACAAAACTGCCATATACTGCTGATGAGAAAAGTTACTTAGTTATATTTACTAAAATAATTGCATTTCCATGTTCTGTGTACTGAGAGAGACCAGGTCTAGTGAATGCAGGGTCCTGGGTTTAGTAACACTTTAACAGTTAACTCCAAACTGATGACCTGTGAAGGTTTTAAAAGCACCACTTATGGAAAATTTTGGATACCAAAGTTTTCTGTCATTTCACGGTCGAGCACAAATTTTAAGGCTTCACATGCTTGGTATCCATTTAATCGCTGAAACATCTTTTATATTTTACTTGAATTTGGGTAATATGGTGCCCTAAAATGATAAAACTGTAGTTTTTTTTTACTGAAAATTTGACCTTAATAAAACCGTTGTGCTTAGCAGGATCCCTGCTTTCAGAAAATATGCAATGTTTTGGGGTTTTAAACTAATCTCCAGACCAAAATGAATTTCAAAACGTGCAAAAAAAAAAAAAAAAAAAAAAAAAAGCAGAAATGATTCTGGCAAAAGAGTTTAATTTAGAATGTGCTTCCTTATGGGGCTTCTGAATCCATTGATTCTCTGTGCTAAATACCTAGGTGTCAATTCTTTCCCCAGGTAGAGAAGTTATCAAGTCTGTAAAAATAAATAAATCTGACATTTACTGTACCTGACTTGGTCGAGAGTAAAGCAGTAATTCTTGCCATCTGCTATGTATTCTGGCCACTAAATCTTTTACCTGAAAGAAAATGTAGCAAATTTAATGAAACACTATACTCCTCCATCAGCCTCTATCTGGTTATGCACCAGCTATTGTTGCCGCCTGAATCTTTGAACAGTACTAGTTCCCCTGTATGTGTGGAGAGGCTTTTCATATGTATTTCCTAACTCCAAGAGAGCCTGCATTGAATCAGTAACCTCTTCAAAATTGATACAGCAGTTTAATTTACAAGGTTCCCTCTAGTGAAGTATGAAAAAGGGGCAGATCACTCTGAAATTCACTGCCAGACCAGCCCATTGAACCTACGCTTACCTCTTGACCGTCTTCCTGTAACTCATCTAAGTACAGATTCGAACACACCATTACCACCTTTATCTGTGACACTTTGCTGAAGTTAAGAATCACTGCTGTGCTCTGCCTTCTCTCTGGAGCCTTGGAGGAAATTTCTATGCTGCTACCTGCATTTTAAAGCCTAAAATGGATATGATGTTTTCTCTCTTTTGATATCAGTAACACCTTCTTGCGCTCTGTGCTTCTTCCATTCCTGTGTCAGCTGGAATTTTCCCTGATTATGGTGGTGTGGATAGTGTGCTGTGTGACCCTGGAAGGATTATAGTTCCTGGCAATTAACCTCCCTATTTCCCTGGTTACCTAAGGGCACTGCATGGACTATATAAAAAAGGCTACCTATGGACTTTTATTATAATACTGTCATAATTCCATCACATATTTTATATATTTCCACTTTCTACATTGTGGTTCCAGGTGTTTTCACCATTTGAGCTACAGAAGAAATCTTTTTTTATTCCCTCTAGCGGCTGTTCACTTATCTTCACTATAGTCTAAGATCATGTACTTTTTTATGATTACTATAAGCTATAGTAATCAAAAAGACACTTTTTTTTTTACAATATGCATACTATTACACTAGTATAGTAAAAATACATGCCGCCAATCATAAAAAAGTACATTTTAGTAAAACTATTGTGACTAAGTTTAGAACAAGTAGCAATGTTGTGTTTGCATCATAGCTAAATGCTGGGTCTGTCGGGAAATAAAAAAGTACCTTTGTCCTGTAGAAAAACCTTGCATCTTCGCGGATATCACTCTTGATGTGCTTTTCTAACTCCGTACATAATTTCAAGAGGTATTCCTGCAAATAATATATGTAAGTGATGAGTATTTTAAAAACACCAGTTGTTCATACAAAAAAGAAAAACCAACCATTTTGCATATACTTTGCCTTGAAATCAATAAGGGGTTGCTATTTCGTTTTATTTTTTAAAAGCTCTTGCTACAAATGCTTCCTGAAATATATAATCAGTGGACCTGGCTATAGTCAAGATAAAGTTTAAAGAAAACATTTACTGAAATATCAGCGTGGGGGCCGCCATTAACAATCTTCCTGAAGATGCTAGCAGTCTGAGTTCCCAGCCACCATAATACATTGATCAGCACTGCAGACTATAGCCTGCAGCACTGATCGAGAGGAAAACTTCCAGCAAAGTGTTTGTACAAAAGGCAATTGGTAGATCAAAATTCCTTACAACCACAGTGCTCATACATAGATTGAAATTCGGCTGTTCTCTGCTGAACTGGTTGAATTTCGATTCACCAATGGGGCAGCTTCAGATGGGCACTTTTAAGGAGGCCTTTATTCTTTTTTTTACTTTTCTTTGTTCTATCCCTCAACAAAGTGCTTTACTCTGCTCTACTCTTTCCTTTAGGTAGCGGGTGCCCCCCTCCCCTTCCCCTGATTAATGCGGGGCTAGGGTGTTTAGTCAACCCAAATGTTTACCAGTTCTCATTAAGCCAATAGAGAGACAAAAAGAAAGATTTCAGTACAACAGAAAAGCAAGAGTTCAAAATAAAGCTACATTTTGTTTTTAAATGTACAGTCTGCTATGAATTTATAACCTTTTAAAGGCAGGGGTGTCAAACTGACGACACTCCAGCTGTTGCAGAACTAGCAGTCCCATCATGCCTCTGCCTGTGGGAGTCATGATTCTGTCAGCTGTGCAATGCCTCATGGGATTTGTAGTTCCGCAACAGCTGGAGGACCGCCAGTTTGACACCTGTGTTTTAAGGGGTCATTCACATGGGTGTTGAACCCCACAGCATGCAAGGTCTGTGGGCTCATGGATCTGAGTTTAGGCAGCCTAAGTAAGGCAATGAAGATGAATTGGCTGTACGAACACAACCACACACCTGAGTTTAAAAGGCATGCAGGGATGAGTGTGCAGCCCTAAATGCACACTGTGTATGGGCTGCGCACCCGTCCCTGCATGCCGGTCACATGCAAATGCGTGCTGAATCTGTAGATTTGCTCCATCTCTATTACATTACATGAAGCTTCATGGTGATCTAGGTGCATTTATAGGAAAAAAAAAAACCCCACAACTTGCACACTGCGGGCCTCAGCATCTGTGTGAACGAGCCCTAAGAGAGACAGGTTACTCAAGTCATGAAAGAAAATGTATAAAAATGCTTCTGTATTCAAAATACTGATGACTGGCTTCTATCAAACAGGCATGCTGGAAAACCACATTTTAAACAGGTACATTTATTTAAAGCTCTAGACATTTTGAATTTATATGCTAAAAAAAACAGCATTTGATTGGCGCTCGCAGCCAGTGGCAGCAAGTGCTGATCAGTGTATTCTGTTATGGAATACAATATATCAGTGGTAGAGATTCCTACATCAACATTGCTTATGTTGATGTGGGGATCTGTCAGTTTTTCTTTCCTTTAACCAGCTAGTTGAACTCAATAAAACTACGTGTGTACCCATTCTAAGACAACAGGATGCTTTATAGGCATCCACACAGCAGTGACACGGGAGCAGAGGGAGGAAAGCAACAATAGCAGGTAGGTCTGGAACAGAGGGGGCTCGGACACTCCCAGATGTCTCAGATCCAGAACATATATACACCACTGTGATTATAAAAAGGACAAAAACAAAAAATGTGGAAACGTGTGTACATATTTTTTAATGCTGCAATCATTCAAAATGCTTTTTAAGATCTGATCATTGGGTATTTAAAAGGCTAGCATCTCCAACAACCAAATACCCTCTGGTTACTGCGGATTGCATGTTCCTTGCTGGTCACATTTTTTTGTTTTTTCTAAAACCATATGTAACATTTGCACTTCTTTATCATACAATGTATACAATATTTTATACTGTACATGCCTAAATACCCAATAAACAAATTGAACCATAAAAAAAGACTGGCATCCACTTCCAGCTTGGATCTTTCTTTAGGCTAGGTTTACACTAATGCGGTTCGGTACATCACGTGACTCGCACAGGAACCGCACCACATTCTTGTGCAAATCACATGTGATTTGTGCACGGTGTGATTGGAGCCATACATTATGTATGGCTCAAATCGCACAGCACCCGAACCAAAGAAGGTGTAGGACCCATTTTTGGGTCTGCACTAGAATCGGATCGCATGGCTATTCACACCTATGTGATCTGATTCTGAACATCGTACCGCATTTGGCGGACCGATTTTGGGGTGTTGTTAACTTAACACATACCTGCATCGGTTCACATGAACGGGGTGCAATTCTCATGCAGTGCGGAATTCGCACAGAAACCGCTGCGAATTCCACACCGCATCAGTGTGAACCCAGTCTTACAGTTGCTATTGTTAAAGTGTTACTAAACCCACAATAGTAAAATCAGTCTGTATATGCAGTAGAGCATGCGTGTATACTCACTGTGGAACCCAAGGGGTTATTGCTCCGCATTGTGTAAAAAGGCTGTTGATCTGGTCTTCTCTGATCCTCTCCTTCCACAGTTCCCAATCTATCTGCTGATAGGACAGAGCCCTAACAGACACTCTGCACATGCTCTATGTGGTGTGTATTGCAGGAGAGGTTTTTTTTTTTGGGGGGGGGGGGGTGCATGTGATTAGCACAGGGCCAAATCAGCACTGTCCAGACAGAGGTCAGGGGTAATGCAGCCTCATAGAACAGTCAGAGGAAAATGAAAACCCCTCCTACAAGATTAACCAGTGCTCAGCCAATGATAGAAGCCACAAGACTGCTATATACTGCTGATGAGAAATTGTATTTAGCTTATATTTACTTATATAATTGCATTTCCATGTTCTGTGTACTGTGGGAGAACAGATATAGTGAATGCAGGATCCTGGATTTAGTAACACTTTAACTAGAATAAAAATATAAAAATAGAGTACTTTTGCAGAGAAGAATGCACTTACTCTCTGAATTGAAAGAGGTTCATCTGAGCTGCTTGCATCATTGACCAAGTGTAAAAGACTGAAAGTCACATAATATGCCTGAAATAAGCAAATCATGAAAAAGGGTGAAATAAGATTATGCTTATGATGATATTTTGTTCTTCACATAGTAAAAAAAAAAAAAAAAAAAAAAAAAAAAAAAAAAAAAAAAAAAGGTATGATCCTATATCCACAGTTGATCCAGAGAAAGGCAAAAAAACCCAGCAAAGCATGATCCAATTTTCTCCTGCAGGGAAAGAAATTCCTTCCTGATCCCTCGAGAGGCAATCAGATATTTCCTGGATCAACTTTACCTATAAATGTTAGTATCCAGTTATATTCTGTGTATCCAAGAAAGAATCCAGGCCTTTTTTTTAAAAGCAATCCACTGAGCTGGCCAGAAACAACACAAACCAAAAACACGATTTAATTTATTTTTAATATTCAGAGCAAACTCATCCAGCCATTCCTCTTTTTATGTTGTTGAGAAATCACTTTGAAAAACAACCCCCTAACATTTCTGGCTGTGGCAATCTTGAGTAAAGGTAGATGATTAATGTAGCAATTACGTCCTGGAATCCATCTGCCCTTAGCTCAGGCATACAGGCAAAAGGGTGGGCTGAAAAAAAAAAAAAAAAAAAAAAAAAAAAAAAACCTCCTGAAGACACCTGGTATGTATGACAATTTGCCTAGGCATGGAAACCAGGAAGTAACAAGAAATGTAAAAAAAAAAAAAAAAAAAAGTTTAAAAACAAGTAAATATGATATACAAGTAGCCACCAGTAAATAGAGATAACAACTGAGACATAGAAGCACTCAAGGTGGCAGATGCAGTGTCCTTCAATGAACGCAGAGAAAAAAACTTTACGGTGTGTTAAAAAAGGAAAAGAAAAATCACATTGTCTCTTTAGTTCATCGAAGGACATGGCTTAGTCTTTATATCTTGACCAATGGAACGTCCCCAAGCAGTGCCAGAAAAAGAGGGGTCCCTGCAGAACTCAAACCATTGCCTATAAAAACTTTGCAGCCAAAACTAGCATATGCAGAAACAGCAACATCAGCTTTGCAGAACTTAGTGAAAGTGTGGCCAGACAACCATGTAGCCACCTTGCAAATCTGGAGAAAGCACAGTGATGAGAACCCAAGGACATGCTCAGAGCTCTGGCTGAATGAGAGGTAACAGGAATTGGCACAAACCTGAACTACAGTGTGACGAAGCCACTGGAAATGGTCAAGGACAAAGTCAGCTGTCTCTTTTTAGGACCATCTGTAATTACAACCATGGAATCCATCTTCCAAACGGAGGAAATAGAACTCAAGTAGAAGTACAAAACAATATCCTCATTCAAATAAAACGCTGCAGCAACCTTTGGCAGGAAAGACACTTTAGGATTCCTATGCAGAACCAAAAATGGTTGCGTACAAGAGAACTGCCAGTTCTCACACCTGTCCACCAGGCAGGCCACCTTTTGCTAAAGCGTCAGTAGAGGAATTTTATAAATATTTTTGAAAAAGAGGCTTTCGTAGAGCCAACAAGACTAAGTGGAGATCAATGAAGCTTTTGTAGGGGGAGCCACCTGTGCAACCGCCTGGATGAGGGTATGCATAAAGAAAAGTGAAGCCAAAGAGCTTCAAATCACTTGAAGAGTATGATCAAAGCAGAGACCGAACCCTTCAATGTACTAAGGGCCATATGGTATTCCACGCACTATTCAAGGAAGGCCAAAAACACAAATCAACAAAACTTGCGGAGTCGAAACACCAGCCACTCACACCGGTTGAAATATGCCTTCCATGTATTATAATAAATGGAATTGGAGGTGGACTTTCAAAGCCTGGAGCATCGTGGAGATGACAGCAGTATCAGGCTTTGCAATACCATTAAAGCCAGTAACTGTAAAAAAAGGTGATAGATCGACCTTGGGAAAGAAGGTAGTAAAAGACAACATGGCACCTTGGTCACGAACTGGAGATCTGGGAACCAAACCTGGCGCAGCCATTTCTGGTGCCACCAAAATTACTGGAATGCTCCCCTGATCTACTGTATCCTCACAATAGGCAGGGTAGGAGCTTCAGAAAAGGAAAGGCATAAATCAGGAAGTACCTGTCAGCAGAGCTACCAGTATGCCCGACACCTCAACCCAGGGATCCCTTGACCTGGCCATGGACCTGGGAACAATCCGGTTGATCCTGAATGCAAAGAGGTCCATAACCAATGTGCCCTACCAGAGACAAATTTGGTGAAAGACATCAAGATGGAAAAGACACTCCCCTTGGTCCAGACATTGACCACTGAGGTAATCTGCCTGGCAACTGTTCAATCCATCCAATCCAAGATCCAGGCCACCTTCAGCACAGCTGCTGAGCTCTTTTTAACAGCCTGTGGTTTGGAGGAATGATGCATCACCCTGAGTTCCAGGATATTGACGTGCCCCCAGCACTCCCCCCTCCCTTCCTACCAGCCAATTCTGCTGGCAACTATCTTGATGCATTTCCAATGAGGAGAAAGGAAAGGCTTCCCAGACTGCAGTAAGGAAGAACAAATCCACCAGGACAGGGATGTCCTTGAACCATTTTCCCCATAACCCCTCACTGCAGAGTTTTGGTGTGGTGTTGCGTATAATAAGCAACTGCCTCCTAGGAAGCGAACATGAGGCCCAGAACCCTCACACAATAGCAAATAGTGGCAGTCCAGAGAGAAGACAGGCAAGTGTCAAGAAGATGAAGTTATAAATGTTTCTTCAGTGGAAGAAACACCTGGACCATCCAAGTGTCCAGAATGAGGCCCAGGTACTCCAAATGAGAAGAAAGGATCAGGGGTGATTTACGAAGGTTCAGAATCCACCCAAAAGTCTTCCAGCTATTGAATCATCGAGGAGACATGGTGTTCCAGGTCCAGTGCTGCATGTAGAATAAAATAATCCAGATATCCCAAAATTAAGATCCTTTAGAATTGTAGCAGAGCCAGAACCAACGCCAATACCTTTGTGAACACCTGAGGTGCAGATGCCAGATCGAGCAGAATAGACACAAATTGGTAATGAAGCTCCCCCATTGCCAACTGAAGAAGCTATTGATGGTTTCAAGCTATGGGAACGTGGAGGTAAGCATCCTTGATGTTCGTCAAGGCCAGTAGGTTTGCCTGACGCAGATAGGCAACCACTGACTGCACTGATTTAATCTGAAATTTGCTTGCCTTCACAAAGGTGCTCAAGGCCTCAGATCCAGAATGGGATGAACTCCTTCCTTCTTCATAAACAGTTTCGAATAAAATTCCCCTGAACCTTTTCAAAAATGGTACTGGAACTTTTATCTCCTGAGCAAGGAGCCCCTTAACTGCTGAATGCCAATTTGCCAGACATTGAGAGGGTTCCCACTTGGCTAAAACACTTCAACTTCCACTCTCCCAGGGGAACTTGCCCTTCACAATTTTCAATTATACTACTGGACTGCAGTATTGGTAATGGTCCGGTGGTGGTTTCTCCAAGCCCAAAGATAATCCTGCATAACTCTTCTGGGTTCCTATGATGCCCTTCGAATATGGGATTGAGGACCTCAGAACACCAAATTTCTGATTACAGCTCTGTTGACCACCAGACTACGAGTTTGACACCAGGCCAGAGCAAAGTACAGCACCCCATCTACTGCCAGAACCCCACTTATGGACTGCTAGAGGGTTCATTGCCCTGAAACATATCAGAGGGAGGACGATAATTTTCCACATTGAAGTTAAAATTCTCTCTACCCAACTGAATGTATTTCCAGTTTCTACAACTATGACACACAGTGAAATAACAATTCCCCTTACCTGGGGAGAATGTGTAGATACCTGCATCGCCTCCATGATTTTGTATAGGAAAAGATTTATACAGTTTAAAATGTATGTAAACCCTCACCTTGTAAAACAACCCATTCAGTTTAAAATAGAAATGAAATGCACAACATGTATGTATATATATCTAAACAAAAGCATTATAAATACTATTTTCTCATTTTTTAGAAGTGATCACATACCCTCTTGTTCTCAGGCTGCATAAGCAATGCACAGCCTTCACAGCGAATGACTGTGTGGAGGGGGGATATCAGCAGAAGTCCAATCATTGGATTAGCGCACAGCACAGCCAAAAAACTGACCAAACTGTGCTCTCATTGCCTAGTATGATCAGCTTTTAATAGGAAAACAGAGGGACTGGAAGGAACACCAGGGATATCACACAACAGGAGCAATACAAAAGATACTTTTTCATACAAACATGTAGTACAGCAGTCATATACCGGGAATATGAAATGTTGGGTTTACATATTCTTTAAAAAATTTCCTTAGGCCTTATTATACTCCACCATGACTGGCCAATATCTATCCGACTACTAGTCCCTTATATGCTCAATGTGGAACTGATGTAGGTATATTCATTCCCATGGTATGGACACGTCCCTCTTTGGGGCTCTTCTAAGAATCAGTGGAAGACACCCTTAATGAGGTATGTGACTTACAGCTAAGGACTGGATGCCTTGTTGCTATTATTTGGGGGAAGCTGATGATCTGGAGGCAAGCTGCTATGCGAAGTTGTTTATTTTATATACTGCATTTTATGCAAGATGGGAAATTCTACTTGACTGGAAGCTGCCTTCTCCTCCTACCCAAAAAGAATGGAAAGCCAACATTAAAAGAACCCTCCCCTTGTATAAATTGACTTCGGAAAGAAAGAACTGTCCATGGAAGTTTGACAAAATGTGGTCATCCTGGATAGATGCATATGGCATTTGTGCAGCAGGGTAGCTTACAGGTGTCCTTACACTTGCTTCCCTGTGGATCCTGCATGGCATGCCCCCTCCCATTTTCTACTACTTTTAGCTGTTATTTTTTTTAGGAGTCTACTGAATACTATCTGTCTAATACCTCACCACCAGGAACAGTTATGTCTCTATCTCTTGAAGTATTCCAGATTTCCTTGATAATGATCTATACTATCACTCATGAAATTTTTTCTAGGTTATGTTGCCTTAAAGTGATACTAAATTGTTTTTGTAAAATAACAAACATGTTATACGTACCTGCTGTGAGCAGTGGTTTTGCACAGTGCAGCCTGGATCCTCTTCTTGGGTCCCCTGCAGGCTCTCCTGGCTTCTCCTTTCTGTCGGGTGCCTATACTGTGCCTTAGGTCTCCTTTTTGGGCTATAGTGCTTTAGCTTGCCTGTGCTGCTTACTACATTGCCTGATGATTACTAAATGTGACATGCAGTACTATTTTACTGCTCCAAACATGGAGCAGTGACATCACCCACAGGCCCTATGGCTGGCCCATCCACATTCAGTGCTTTCTCCTCTTCACTGCGGCCACTGCTAACTGACACAGGGGAGTCGGATCACATGACCAAACTGGAATGGGAAAGTATAACATATACATCTTTTACACAGGTTAGTCAGCATAGGAGGTGGGGGGGGGGGGGGGGGGCATAATTTTTAAGACTAGCTTGGTTTAGCTTAGAATTTTACTTTAACTTAGAAAGGAACTAGGGTGATTTTTCTTAGCTGAATGGCTAAGTGAAGTTTCTCTCAGTCAACATTGATTTTTTTTATCCTTACGCTGTTAGCTTCAATACACAGTTTAAAACAAAAAAAAATATAATATACTATCCTTTTTTTTTTTTTTTTTTAAATACATTTCTTCAGTTACTTCCTGTCTAGGCAAACGTCACACATCCCAGGAGCCTTCAAGAGGGATATTATTGAATCCTTAACCAAAAATAAGGCAAGCCTTTGGTGATAACTTACAGTTTCCATTGTGCTGATGTCAACTCTCAGATTGCAAAGGGTGATGTCATAGCTGATCACATATGCAGCACCCATGGCAACTGCAGATCTAACAGACCCGAGACGGTGCCAGATTTTGAAGCAAATAGGATTGTTTAGTTACGCTTTCCACAGCATTTTGGCAAGTAGGGACATGGCTCAACTTCACTGTAATCCCCAACTGACATGATTTTTGTAAATAGATTGCATCTCCCATTTTTCTCCAAGAGAAATTACAGTTTCTCCTACCAGCAGGGGCGGACTGACAACTCATGAGGCCCCCGGGCAATAGGGGATCATGGGGCCCCTGTGTCCTTGTCCAAACTCAAAAAGAGTATGAAAAAGGTACCGGGGCATCTCATGGGGCCCCCTACTGACCCCGGGCCCTCGGGCAGTGCCCGAGTTTCCAAATAGTCAGTCCGCCCCTGCCTACCAGTGATACATAACTATATATACCTCCTGATCCATGTCCAGCAATGTCTTTGACTCATTTTCTGGAAGTGCCTGCATTTTCTTCACCAGAGAAGATGGCTTCATTTGGGACAAACACTTACACAACAGCAGCATCTGATAAGCAAACATGAAGCAATAAGTACTCAACATGCCACAAGAAATCCGTACCACAAACAATAAAACTGAAAAATTTATATTAACAACCAGCAAATACAAACCCGAGATGCATAATCCAGAGGTATATCTGTACAGTGTCCATTCTGGATATTGGATATGAAAATAAGGCTGACGTGTCTTCTTAGTTCTCTAAAGTGAAGTAAAAAAAATGGATAAGATACAAAACGTCTCTTTTAGAGTATCTGATTATTAGATGATCAGTTGCTCAGTTTATAGCTGCTGCATGTATTATTTTTTATAGATTTGCAAAGCAAGCAGAACACAATGCACATTTGTGTGGTCATGGTAAGTATACAGGTACAGGCTTTTGTGTTTTTAAATCGGTTTACAGTAAGCCTGGGTTCACACTGATGCGGTGCGGAATTCGCAGCGTTTTGTTTATAAATTCCACACTGCATTACAATCGCACCCCATTCATGCGAACCGCTGCGGGAGTGTATGTTAACAACACCCCGAAATCGGTCAACAAAACGCGGTGTGATGTGCAGAATCTGATCGCATGGGTGTGAATACCCATGTGATCCAATTCTAGTGCGGACCAAAAAAAAAAAAAAAAGGGTCCTGCACTGTTTTCGTGCAGGTGCAGTGCGATTGGAGCCATACAAAATGTATGGCTCCAATCGCACCGCACACAATTCGCATGTAATTTGCACAGAAGTGTGGTTCCTGTGTGAACCACATGCGATATACTGCACTGGACAAGTGTGAATCCAGCCTAATGGTGTCCATAGACAACTTGCGATCATATTGTGAAAACTCTGATACTTAAACAATTTTTCTTCTGATCTTCATGTCCAATATGTTGTGTTTTTTTTATACAGCACATGATAGGATAACTAAACTCTCTGAATCAACAGTAATAGTAAATAGACAGGAATGTATATTATATTTGTTTTAACTTTTTTTCTTTTCTTACACACATTTCTTCAGTTGCTTCCTGGTTTCTGATCTAGTCCAAAATTATGTCATACATCTCAAGAGTCTTCAAGTGCAATCTTTTTTTCTTTCATCTGGAGAAGGGGAGCAGGGGCTCTCTCAGCTAAGCACGCCCTCTGCCTGCATGCCTAAGCTACAGGCAGATGGATTCCAGAAAGGAAATACTACATGAATCATCTGCCTTTACTCAATATGGCTCTGGCTGGAAATGCTATGGTGGTGTTTTTTCAAAGTGTTTGCTTTGGATATTAAAGAGTTTGCTTTGGATAATGAATGCTGGAAACCCCTTTATGGAAAAGCTTGGTTTTAATACATAATTGGAGCTACATTTATGAAATAAAGTTCTCAGAAAGTTACCTGCCACGAATCTCAAAGGTAGGTACAAGCTGTAGCAGCTTTAGGAAATTATGATGATGACTGGAAAGTTCGCTCATAGCAAAGCACAGTTCCGGCATCTTTGAGACAAACAAGTGGTCAGTTATTTTTTTTAGCAGAATGGTCGCAGTTAATTATTTCAGTTTGCTATATTTACTTACCATAGTTTCCCATGTCTTGATGTTTTGAAGGAGATTTGCAATGAGACAATGCAAGTCCATCACAGGAATGTCCTTTAGTTCTTTCTCCAGATGCATTTTTTAAAAGCATCACCAATAGTGCAAGGATTTCCAGGTCCTCATAGCTCTCCCTGTAGACTGCTGTACACAAGCCTAAAAACTGTGAACAAACAGAACTGTAACATTACTGGCGAAAATGATGTAACAAAATCTGATTGCATTCCTGATCTTAAAGTAGAACTTCAGACAAAGAGGTAAAAACAAAGTCCAGATATATTCAAGTTTACTATTTTACCTGTCAAAGGATTTTCAGATTTGACACACATGTTGTCTTGTGACACACATACCTGCACTAGCAAGTAAAATCACTTTGCTGCATCCTGGTTTACCTTTACTGTGGCTTGGGTCAGCTCTCTGATCATTGGAGAGAGGTGATGATATTAAAGTGGTTGTAAAGGCAGAAGTCTTTTTTTTTTTTTTTATTACCTCAACTTGCATTTTGTGCATCCTAACCCACAGCACCCCCTTAACACATACCTGAGCCCGATCTCGATCCACCAATGTGCACAAGAGCCGAGGCTCTCTCTGCTCTCTAGCCATTGGCTCCCACTGCTGTCAATGAGGGCCAGTGACGAGGAGTGTGGGCCCGGGCCGAGCGTCACTCTTTGTATCTTATGGATACACACAACACGGTTAGGGAGCGAGCATGCACAAGTGCCCCCAGAGCAAGTGGCTTGCTCTGGGGGCACTCTGCAGGGTGGGGAGTCTTGGGGTGTGGTGGAGAAAGGAGCGCTGACAGGGGACGCAAAGTAAAAGAAGATCGGGGCTGCTCTGTGCAAAACCATTGGACAGAGCAGGCAAGTATGACATGTTTCTTAATTTAATAAAATAAAAAACTAAGTTTACAAAATCACTTTAAAGGCCAAGTTGACTTTTCAGGCAGAATTTTACTTTTCATAATAAATACAAGCCTTTTCTAATGTCATGCACTACCTTGCTACATCACAGAGGGATGTTTTACCACTCTGGACAACACGTCATTAAATCATCTCCCTTCGGGAAAGTCAATGGGGGGGCAACGCGTCAGACAGGTGGTGATGTCCTCACGCTGGATGGAGTCAGGGCGCCATATTCGGAAATGCTATGTGATAAGTCTATTGAGTCTTTTCATATGAGTGTGAAATTTTAACTTTAATAAAATTGGAATAGCAGCCTGCACGAATGGCCTCTTTTTTGCTTCCCTTATGTAATCTCTTGACCGGGGAGTCTGATGACTGTGCTCTGTGGAGATTTGGAGAAGAGTGGTGTTTCTATGTATATAAGGTGCAATTGACCTCCTTTATCACAGTCAGGTCCTAGAGATGAGGTGAGAAGACGCCCATAAGGTGTGAAGGACACTGTGGTATGTGTTCATGTTGAAGAACATCTTCCTGGAAGAAATCGTTTACCTATAATTGCATGACAATTGAATCCTATATGGGACTTCTAAATGTATTTGTCATTGCACATTGATATACTATTCAGAGTATTATCTGAATATATTTCCTATTAGGATTTATTGATTTCATTGTTTTTATTTCCTACTTATCTCACACATGATATTTGTATATGCCATAATCTGGAGTTTAGCGAAACCGCTTCACCATTTGATTTATTTAGACATTACAAACTGCAAATCTTTTGAAATGTAAAATGGCAATTATACAGTATATGTAATTTAGCTGTGCATTTAGCGGTTTACTGGAAGCTTCACTTTAATGATACACTATACAAAAAATTAAAAAAAAAAAAAAGTGTAGCAAATTATCAATGTCAATACACCTTCACAAGAAAAAAACTGCAGCCTCCTGATTATTGGATGGACAGGAAATCGCTCCGTGCTGTTCCTCTACCTCCTAACTTTTACATCACTTTTGGGAATTTCACAGTAGTACAGTTAAAGCTTCGAATCACCTGAGACTTTCAACCTCTCCTCCAATATATCAGGCAGGAACTGGATATAGTCCCAGAGGTTAAAATAAAAACCAACACAGCGTAACTCATATTTATTTAAAACAAACTGAAAACTATTGCAAGGGGGGGCATGGCTTGGCGCATGGAGCGATAGCAGCTACTCTGCACAGCTTCCGGCCCGGACCTCCGATGCAGGCTCCCTTTCTCCCTCATGGGTTTGCCACTATAATCCCCATGGGGAGGAATCAGAATCGGACCCCCCAAAGAGAAACGGGGAGCCGGTCCAGCGGTGACATAAGCCGGTTCGTGACCCGATGGTCGGCCGAGGCCTCGGGTGCCCCGGACCTCCAAGATGGCACCGGCACCTCTCCCCTCCTCGTCCCCTGTGGATACAGGGCACCATTCAGAAGAAGGGCAGGTAAGCTCTCGGGGCTCTCTCTCCCCTCCTGGGGATCCTGTTTTGCTGGCACAACTAACACAGGGCACACACAGAATCCCGCAGCCCCTCCCCAGCATCTCTCTGCTCTGAGGATGGCTGGGATCTGCAGTCCCAAATGCGGTCCCTGCACACCTACATGAAATCCCTTCCTACAAAAGGCAGATTTTGAGCTTTATGTGAAACGTATTGAAAAGCACATACAAGCAGGAAATTTCTGATCTTAAAACAAGACATTTGTGAGCGCATGAAAGAGATTGAAAATACCGCCGACGGTCTGTGTAATGCTTTACAAACCCACGAAGAGGCCCTTAACTCCCATATGGTTCTTATACAACAGCTCATGTACCAACAGGATGACATTGAGAACAGGAACCGCCGTAACAATATTCGGATCAGGGGCATCCCAGAAACCATTGAATCTAAATATTTGGCCGCAGCGGTTACCGCCATCTTCAATCAACTGCTCCAGCAACCTAAAGACACCCATATTGAGTTGGACCGCGTACATCGCACGCTGGGCACCAGGAATCCTGACCCATCTTTTGTCCGTGATACCCTGTGCAGGGTCCACTACTTTAAAGGTCAAGGACGCCATTATGCACGCGGCCAGCATGCAGGACTCCATCCCATTTAACGAAGTGCCAGTGATGCTTCTCCCTGACCATTCCCGCCATACTCTAGCTATGCGCAGATGTTGCAGGAGAGAGTGCGCCTGACTATACTAAAATCTATCACAATAAAGGCATCTGTTCTGCGTTTGAGTGCTACTATTCTCAACTCTATAACCTCTCCGCAGTGAATCTTGATGTTCCTCCCGTTTCCTCCCTGCCGGCTACGTCCCAATATATTATGGAGACGGCGTTACCTGTTTTAGACCAAGATGCATTGGATCTGGAGGAGCCCTTCTCAATTATAGAAGTTCTTGGGGCAATGAAGGCCCTGAAAACTGGTAAGTGCCCAGGTCCGGACGGATTCACTCCACGCTTTTACAAAACATTCGCCACCCAATTAGCCCGGCTTCTGGCCCAAGCGTTTGTTATTGATGATTTGAATGTACCTTCATCAGCTTTTTTTGTCTGCCACGGTTTGTCGGTTATTCCTAAGCCAGGTAAAGACCCTTCTCATTGCGGTAGTTATCGCCCAATTTCTTTACTTAACCTGGACGTTAAGCTTTTTGCTAAACTTTTAGTGAACCGTTTTTCCCCTTTCCTACCAACCTTGATCCACCACAACCAGATTGGCTTTGTCCCGGGTCATGAAGCTAGGGATAATGCCTCTAAAACAATCCATTTTATCTCTTATATCAAGCAACACGGCTTAAAGGCTTGCCTACTTTCATTCGACACTGAGAAGGCATTCAATCGCGTTGACTGGCGCTTTCTCCGTCTTACCTTGGAACAAACTGGTTTGGGTTCGTGGTTCCTTGCTCGGATTATGTCCCTCTATTCTCAGCCTTCGGCGTCTGTCCTTGTCAGCAGTATGGTTTCTTCGCCTTTTCCCATATCGAATAGGACCAGTCAAGGATGTCCCCTTTCGCCCCTTCTCTTTGTTTTAATAATGGAACATCTTGCGAGAGCCATACAAGCTAACGACTCAATCTTGGGCATCCACACTCCCTCCGCACATCATATATTATCCTTATACGCCGATGACCTTCTAGTTTACGTTCAACAGCCACTTATTTCCCTCCCCAGTCTTTTCCACACTTCCTAGCTTCTCTCTATAAAGTGCTTCACAATGCTCTTCATCTGAACTCCCTCCCTACACTAAGGCGTGGGCTCGAGACCAAAGGACATTTCGGCAGAACACTGGTCCACGTCGTTCCACTTTACTCATAAATCGTCTATTTCTTGCTACTCACAAGAAAATAATTTTAAGCTTCTCTTTCTCGATGGTACAGGGATCCCCTCTCCCTACACAAAATCTTTCCTTCTACACCTGATCTTTGTTGGCGCTGTAATAGAGCTGTTGGTACACAGCTCCACATCTGGTGGGATTGTGATCAAATACAACCCTTCTGGAGACAAGTCTTTGCTGTATATAACCGGGTCTATGGTGAGTCCTTGGCCCCTTCGCCGGAAATTGCCCTTCTATCTATATTACCGTATATTACCGTATTATATTATCTATATTTCTTCTGTGCTGCCCACGGGCAGCACAGAAGAAAAGTCTGTTGCGCTTCTGTCTGCGGCCCGCCAATTGATACCTCTCTATTGAAAAATGGCCACCACCACTCCTTTCCCAATGTGAGTCTCTGTGCTTAATGATACGATGCGTATGGAGGAAATGCTGGCGTTTAACAATGATACCTATGATAAACATAAGTTCCTGTAGTCGATCTGGCTCCATTTTTCCTCCTCTGCGACTCTCCAAGATATGTGCTCCCCTGTTGCGCTTTAGTGGAGTTGAGCCTTGCTCCCACGACTAATTTTCATTTTGGCTTATCCGCCGATTGGACCCTGCGGTCTGTGCCGGATGCGGGCTCACTTCGGTGAGATTCGGTTGAGGAACCACCCTACTGTTGCTTTCTACTGTACCCGTCTCCCAACCCCCTCTCTTCTTCTCTTTTGCTTTCCTTTCCGCTGGCTTTTTTTCGTACCCCCCCCCCCCCCCTTTTTTTTTCTTCCTCTCTCTTTTTTTAGTTTACATTTTTGCTTGTATGAAGTTCTCTCATATTGTTTCAGACATCTCACACGGGGATGCCCCCTGATACTTTATTATGTTATACCTCCTTAATATAAGTTATTGATCCTTTCCTCTTGCAGTTTTACTGCATCATTTTCAAACATCCTTATGGATCATAACCTTATCTGTGATGTTTTTTTTTTTTTTAATCTACTTGTACATGTTCTTTATACTACACATGTTACGTCTGTTGAATTTATGCTAAATAATAAAGAAAAATTTGTCCTCAAATCTCCCTTAGGGATAAGAAAGGAACAAGCACGTCTAATAGGATAGTAGGAGTTCCTTTACAAAGCGCTGCAAATGAAGTCGGTCTGTCTGTCTCTTCATCTCTACAGGATTTCCTTCTGTTTAAATTGATAGTTTTTTTTTTAGGGAATTTCTAGACTAAGGAAATTATGATTTTAGGGATGCAAATGCAGCTGATAAGGATGCATACACAGCAAAAAATATTGTGAATGATGCAAATTAACTTAGCTGTATGTATTTAGGAAAGATCGTCTTGTTTTTCCTGTTTTAAGGACTGCACTGTTTTGATTGCAGATTCCTTCCATCCCTTGTTCACTACACTTTTCTATATGGATATTAAGGCTTGTTTACACTGCAATCCCCATATTTACATGCATTTGAGGCACGTTTTTATTCACAATTTGTTTTTTGAGTTGCATTTACAAAGTATTTCTGTGTTTTCCAGTATGTTTGTGTGTGAAAACATGCAGCATGCTGTACTTTAATGTGCATGCTGTAAACTAGGCTTATTGAAAAGCATTCATTTTTTCCTGCATGTGGGTTCAAACTGCTTTTAAAAAATGCACTTGACTGCATCTGTTGCAAATGATTCTTCAAAGAGGAAAACCAATAAACATACATTTAAAGTGAACACTATTGCAAACGCCATCTCTAGCTGTTTCGTCCATTTACTACGCGGGGTTTGATGCTACAATCTTGTTTACTTAGCTGTGAAAACTGATCAAAGAGTTAGGATCAGGAGACACAGCACAAGGCAACTGCTGTTGCTAGAGCAATTACCTTGATAGCCAACGACCGCGAGGCTGTGACACAATTTATAGACCTTCAGAAAAGCGGGTCTGGCATTTTCTGTGAGTGCTGAATCTTATGGGTATTTGCATGTAATTGAAAGCATGGCTGTTGGAGTACTATTACAGGAGGAGTGGGTGGATAAGCTATAGCTGAACCTCAATATATTCAAACGTGGGGTTGGCATTTGTGAGCAAATCAAAGATGATTTAGGATTTGTGTCATCATACTTTCCTGGGTCAGCCAAGGATCCTATGTAGTGTTGGAAGATGCCATTTTAGACTCCCAGAAGCAGTGCTGGTTTCACATCCATTTACCTTAACAACTGCCCTAATCCAGAACTGGTATTGCTCTCAGCTTGATGACTGATGCCAGACAAGTGCATTTTGACACGCAAGGACGCAATGGCCTACCTGTAGCATGAAACGGAGGACAGTGCCAGAGCAAGAAGTAAGGTAAGTATTATGCCATATTACTCATCACCTATGAGTTTAATGTTTAATTTTTTTTTATGCAAAATAAGTTACAGAAAAAGCAACATTTCAAGGAGAACACCACGCACAAAAGATCCATCGGGTATTCAACAATATATAAAAACAGTTGATAGGCAGTGGGCTTAGGTCCAGGAATCTGCAACTACAATTCAAACAGAGCATGAACAAGAAAATACCAAAAAAAAAAAAAAAAAAATTATCCAAGTGAAAAAACAAAAAACAGTCCACAACTCTACTCGCGATTCTCATGCCACTGTCTCTGACTCAGCTGTCAATAAAATAGAAATTCTACGAACCACTCTTCTGCTCAATCTTGTGCTAACAGAGGTTTGTATGTGTCAGTGGTAGTAAATCACATAGAAGCAGCCCATATTTGATGACATTGATCATGTTGCTCAGCACAGGTGTGCCTCCTGTGTTCCTAAATCGCTTGGACCTTAAGCCCTGGTTCACACTAAATGCGACTTTGAAATCGTGCTACTTCACTTGAAGTAGCACGTTTTCAAAGCAGTAGGTCAGTGTGATTTTAAGTGCGACTTGCCTGAAATTTGTGCGACTTCATGCACAGATGTCTATGCAAGTCGCACCTAAAGCTTCAAAAAAATAGTGCAGGAACCTTTTTTTCCCCAAATCGGTGTGCCACTGCAAACTCAGAGTCGCACCGATTTGAACGGTTCCATTGCCAACAATAAGGTGGGACTAGTCATGTGATATGGACCTGTCAAATCACGACAAGTCGCACCAGTGTGAACCAGGGCTAAGTGCCCAAATCTTTCAAAGCAGGGACTTTAAGTCTATTTTACTGGGATCAAAGATTTCCCAGTATTCAGATGGAGCATAATGGAATTGCATATACTTACCTACAGACGAAGTCTGCTCAATAAATCCCTTAACTCCTCCCAGATGGGCTGTATAGCAGTGCATTCCCACCATTAATGCAAAAAAGGTACCCTTCTGACCATAGCACCTCCATCAATTCCCAGACACCCCTGGGTATATACCAACAACCAACAATTTTGCATTTACAATATACCATCAGGATAACGATTTATAAAAGGTTTCCCTCATCTTTGGCATCGCGTGCCAATTCAGTAATCTTAAATACAAAGGGCATGGAATAGGCTTACTAAACTACTTTTCCCTTCACTCTCTAGACCTAACTGCCACGTAACCCTTGAAGTGCGGGGAAGCCCAGCTGCAAGATACTATCTTGCCATGTTCTCAAAAGAACCAAATGATCCACTTAAAAGTACAAATCACTGGACAAAAGAATCAGTCACCATTATTACCTGTGATCTCCCTGCAGCTGATCTTTCCCAAATATTGACTCACCATGACTTGTTTTGCAGTGTGACTCTGTGTAAGGGCAGCTATCTTGGTAGAGGCAGGGCTTTGCTTTCTTTTATCAGAGCTAACAATCGCACAACTGGTGAGCCGATGACTACTGGGAAATATTCAAAAAGCAGCAGTAAGTACAAAACCACATGACGAAGTAAAAGCAGGAAGATCCAAGCAGTATCAATGCTCAGGTACAGATTCCTCCCCAGCAAAAACTGGATGGCATATGCAGCAGTGCCTCTCAAACAGAAGATATACAGCTGTGTGCCTAGGCATACTCAGTATGTCAGAAACACATTGGTATTTTACAAGAGGAATTCAAGATGAAAAAGTACAGCTTTCAAGGTACTGCTTAGGCACAATTAACATTTCCAGATGTCCCCTATAACAGGGTTTGTCAACCTTTTTTCAGTTAAGGCACCCTTTAACATTCTGAACAATCTTGAGGCAGCAACATCTGCACATGAAGGACACCCACAATAGAGGCGATTTATTCTTCCAAAGCGAATACACTTTTGCGCACTGGTGCTGACTAGTATTCCATTGTTTCTCTTCTCCCTTAGTTTCTCTCTCTTATTCAGCTAGTGTGACTCAGTGCTTACGGAGAGGGGCAGGTAAGGGAAAAGCAAGAATGCTGTGCAGGTGCCCAAAGTCCTTCTTATCAACCGATGACATCATTGGTTGTTATGTCGCCAGCAGCTAGAAAGTTGTAATGGTGCACAATGAAAACCTGTGATTTTGTGTAACTAAAAGGCAGGTGTGATCCACCCGCTGCTTGTATACAGTTTTTGGGCAATTTTTAGGCATTTTGCCAAGGCAGCCATGAAGAAACCTGAAGGCACCCCAGGGTGCCTGGACACCCTGGTTTAAAAAGGCTGCTCCATAACATACCAAAGTCTTCACTTTTTTAGATCAGATCCACATTATATTAGAAAACTTGTGATGTACAAATAGTCTGACTGTAACCTGAAATAAGTAGCACCTTATAAGCACCTGCCTCTCACACATACCACCTCCAAAATAAACATCTTAAATCATCATAAAGCCAATACCTTAATTACATGAGCTATCTGAGATGCTGGAACACGAGAAAAAATTTGTTCTGTGCACAAAGTTCCCTTTTCTGTTGACACCGATCCAGGTACTGCAGATCTGTAAAAAAAAAAAATAAATAAAGTAGGGTGGTGGTCACATAAAATCTATAAATGGGAACACAAATTTAACTACTGGATATATTTAGCTATATAGTGTGCATATGTCAAGATCTAAACTGACTGACACTACAAAAACAGAGAAAATAGTTTACCTAGAAAGAATTAAACAGCTGCCAAATGGCTGTCCTATATTTTCTTCAAATTAAATTTAACAAAAAAAAAAAAAAAAAAAAAAAAAGGCAATTTATAAATACATTGGAATGAATATCGCCTTAATACAATGAGGGAAATCTACAAAGATGTGCAGTACTTTCTTTTATTTTACACAGAAAACATATCCTGTATACTTAAAATGCCACGCATATTAAAGTGAACTTGAGGTGCCCTAGCAGGGACTTGTAGACGGTAGTAGGATCTTATTGCAGGCATCTACGGCTGCCTGAACACTTTATTATCCAGAGTGGCCTGTGATCCTAAATACGTTTTCCATTATAATGCAAAAATGGTAACCTGCACTGCTGTGGTTGAACTGCAGCCATCCTTACCCACTTTCCGTGCTTCCCATTGACCTTTCAGGCCACCAATCACAAAAACATTTGTCATTTCTGACCAACAGAGTTAAAAGAATATGAAGAAAAAAAAAAAAAAAGGAAAAAAAAACCAAGAAAATTCATTTGAACAATTTACCTATTCCCCATTGATCCATATCAAACTTGTACTTCCCAAAGTTTCCTTTAATATCAGTTAATGTCCCTTTAGAAAAACAGAGGTTTTAATGTCCCTTTAGAAACTGTTTTAATGTCCCGACCAGCTGGTCCACGTAAAAGTACATATATAACTTGTCTTTTCTCTGACATTTTTTATCATACTTGTTCAACTAGTTTTAATCCCTGTTTTACTTTTAAGCATAACAAAAAAATTTAAATAACAAGATGAAAACAAATAGCCTATAAAATATATACTTAAAAGAAAAAAAACAGCCTTTGCTGGACTGTTCACCTTTATCCCAAGCAGTCCCCCTGCAGTATTACTTTTCTGCCAGCATTGTTTTACCTACTTCCTCTTAGCCCAGGATGCCATGGACCCACCCTAGCCTGTGATTGGACAGTGAAAGCAGAAACAGCACAGTGATGTCACTCTGCTTCCAGTATCAGAATACTTCTGGTCACCAAATGAACATATCAGCTCCTTGTGCTGCCTTTTCCTCGTATACACTAATCCTGCTATACTAAGTCGAATTTGGGTACTTTCACTGCTTGCATTTAAAAAGATAAATTTAATGAAGAGTGGCATGAATTTCAGAAAGACATACTACACAAAAATGGCAACAACCACTACTTGCATTTCAGATTTTTCCACAGAACTAATGTCTGAACAATCATTTTAACAATATATTTTACCAGGAAAGATGTGGAAATAAAATGTAAAACACTTACACTAAGTCAAAGTCTTTGAAAGAAGGCTGAATGTGTAGAAGAGAAAAAAGAGTTTTGAAGGCAATCCCCATGTTGGCAAACACAGTTGCTATGTCCAGTAAAGTAGGAACCCAGGGCTTTTCTTCAAGATTTGTAACTATGGAAAAGAATATCTTTATAACGATCAACTATTAAGACAGGAAAAGTGATACATGAACATGCATTCTATACTTACGATGGTTACACGTCATTTCAATCAAAGCATTTAAAAGTTTAATAGACGTGGCATAAGATGGATGAATAGATACCATCTGTAAGAAAATAATTTACAATGACAATATGGAAAAACAATCCAAGAAAACAAAGTGCACAAAAAAAAAATAAATCATGCCAGCACTGACATACAAAATAGAGAAAAAAAAAATGTCATAATACATTGGAGATAATTAGGAAGGTATAAAAAACCTGACTGAACAAAGGAATATAGATGAAGGAGCTTGATAGTTCCTATAAACATAAGAAGGCACAAAAATGTTTAGGTTCCAACTCCTAAATGCTAAGCAAAAACAGAACTGTGTGTTGCAGGTGGGGGGTTTGACAACCAGCAGGGGCTGCCCCTAGGTTGTGCTTTTTTGTTGAAACTAGCATCTGGCTACTGCAGGTGGCATAATACTCCACTTGGCTATGTGTATCTCCTGGTCACTTAGTGCTGCTTTCCTGAACTTCTGGTCCACTAAGATGGCAATGAGTGACCAAGAGCCCGCATACTTTAAACCAGAACTCCAGGCAAAGTGGGGCAAAAAAGTATTTAGTCAGCCACCAATTGTGCAAGTTGTCCCACTTAAAAAGATGAGAGGGGCCTGTAATTGGCATCATAGGTAGACCTCAACTATGAGAGACAAAATGAGAAAAAAAAATCCAGGCAATCACATTGGCTGATTTGGAAAGAATTTATTTGCAAATTATGGTGGCAAAAATAAGTATTTGGTCAATATCAAAAGTTCATCTCAATACTTTGTTATATATCCTTTGTTGGCAATGACAGAGGTCAAACGTTTCCTGTAAGTCTTCACAAGGTTGGCACACACTGTTGCTGGTATGTTGGCCCATTCCTCCATGCAGATCTCCTCTAGAGCAGTGATGTTTTGGGGCTGTCGCTGGGCAACACGGACTTCCAACTCCCTCCAAAGGTTTTCTATGGGGTTGAGATCTGGAGACTGGCTAGGCCACTCCAGAACCTTGAAATGCTTCTTATGAAGCCACTCCTTCATTGCCCGGGCAGTATGTTTGGGATTATTGTCATGTTGGAAGACCCAGCCACGTTTCATCTTCAATGCCCTTGCTGATGGAAGGAGGTTTGCACTCAAAATCTCACGATACATGGCCCCATTCATTCTGTCCTGCACATGGATCAGTCGTCCTGGTCCCTTTGCGGAGAAACAGCCCCAAAGCATGATGTTGCCACCCCCATGCTTCACAGTAGGTATGGTGTTCTTTAGATGCAACTCAGCATTCTCTCTCCTCCAAACATGACGAGTTGTGTTTCTACCAAACAGTTCTATTTTGGTTTCATCTGACCATATGACATTCTCCCAATCCTCTTCTGGATAATCCAAATGCTCTCTAGCAAACTTCAGACGGGCCCGAACATGTACTGGCTTAAGCAGGGGGACACGTCTGGCACTGCAGGATCTGAGTCCCTTGCAGCATAGTGTGTTACTGATGGTAGCCTTTGTTACGTTGGTCCCAGCTCTCTGCAGGTCATTCGCTAGGTCCCCCCGTGTGGTCCTGGGATTTTTGCTCACCGTTCTTGTGATCATTTTGACCCCACGGGCTGAGATCTTGCGTGGAGCCCCAGATCGAGGGAGATTATCAGTGGTCTTGTATGTCTTCCATTTTTTAAATGATTGCTCCCACAGTTGATTTGTTTACACCAGGCTGCTTGCCTATTGCTAACAAGTTCAAACAGGTGCCATTGATACAGGTAATGAGTGCAGGACAGAGGAGCCTCTTTAAAGAAGAAGGGTACAGTCTGTGAGAGCCAGAAATCTTGCTTGTTTGTAGGTGGACCAAATACTTATTTTCCACCAATAATTTGCAAATAAATTCTTTCCAAATCAGCCAACGTGATTGTCTGGATTTTTTTTCTCATTTTGTCTCTCATAGTTGAGGTCTACCTATGATGCCAATTACAGGACTCTCTCATCTTTTTAAGTGGGAGAACTTGCACAATTGGTGGCTGACTAAATACTTTTTTTGCCCCACTGTATGTATGCATGTATGTATATATATATATAGTATATATATATATATATATATATATATATAAATATATATATATAAATATATATATATAATATATATATATATAATAATATATATTGTCCTCCAACTTCTGGTTCACTCAGTAGCTGCTCTGAAATAAACTGATTTTCAAATAAAAAAAAACAAAAAAACAAAAAACTGTTAATCCCCCTGAGGTTTCCTGTTTGTAAGACCAGTGGCTGCTATTCCTCCTATTCCCCCAGCCACTGGTCTTGGCACAGCCCCTCTGTAGCTCATCCTCCAGAAAGCAGTGATGTATTTCTTCCCTGCTAACTGTAGTGGGGGGAGGGTCAGACTCCTGATCTGTACCTCCCGCCAAGGCAGTTTTCTAATGACACTTCTTTTTTTTATTTTTTCTTTAGGTCAGCAGCGGCATTCATTGTGATTGTTTTTGGATCTGCTTTGGGGACAATTTTTTTTCTAGTTTTTTTTTTTTTTTAGTCCTTTAATAATGAACGGTTGTATTTTTATTCACTTTTTACACTTCTTTGAAGGACCTGGTATGGCTATGGACAGAGCACCCGGAAGAAATGAAAAAAAACACAGGAACAACTTACAAACTCAATGCAGATTAGATTCTTGATGGCAGCTGAACCCAGACAACAAATTCCACAAAACACTTAACTACCATAAGTTCTGAACATCTTGGAGCTTGTTCACACCATACACGCAGAAAAAACTGATGGGAAAAAAAACAAAAAACAAAAAAACGAGCAGATTGTACTGGCAAAAACATCAGTTTTCATGTGTGTCTCAGTGAGTTTTATAGATGTTGCAGATAACTGTGCAGAAAAAAAAAAATCTGCACGTGATACCATGTGTTGTGGTGTGAAAAGGGCACACAGAACTAATGTATTCTTTGTTCCCTTTCATAACACGAACAGAAAAAAAAAAATGAATCTCTGCACCATGGTGTGAACAACAAGGCCTTAATGACAACCCCTTACTTAAACAGAGAAAAACACACACGCCTAACTCTTTTAGACTACTCCCATCTAAAATTCCTTACCTGAAACATCCATCTCATTAGTACCTCAGGGCATTTCTTAAACTGATACAATGTAGTGAGGAATCCTTCTGTGGCCAACATAAGCTGATTTCCAGGACTGCAGCTGCATAATAAAATAAAAACAGTCAGACATCAATTCTAGAGATGAGCGAATCGAAGTATCCGAAGTGGAATTCGAGTCGAATATCGGAAAAATTTCGATTCGTGCCGAATCCGAAAAAAATATAGCCTAATTCGGACACGCGCGAATCGAAATTTTTCAGAAAATGGCGGCTGACATGTGCGGCGACGGAGCGGGATGTCTGGGAAGGCGCGCAGACAAGGCGCGCTGACCCATAATGCATTCCTCAACTACATGTGATCGCATCAGCCAATCAGCAGCCAGCCAGCACTGTGTAATGGTCGAGCTATAAATAGCAGGCCATTTTGGAATTCTTCATTTGCCTGCAGTTATTGAACAGAGGCAGACCGCTCTGTACTAGGGACAGGGACAGAGTTAGGGCCACAGAAACGATAATTGGGGACAGAGAAAAGTTACTTAGGGACAGAGAACCATACTCAGGGACACAGACTTGTTAATGAGGGCCACAGAATCGTTATTTAGGGACAAAGAAACGCTAGTTAGGGCCACAGAATTCATAATCAGGGACAGACAGAATTGTTACTCAGTGCCAGAGAATTGTTACTTAGGGCCACAGAAACGTTATTAGGGCCAGAGAATTGTTACTCAGGGACAGACAGAATTGTTACTGAGTGCCAGAGAATTGTTACTTAGGGCCACAGAAACTTTAATTAGGGCCACAGAATTTTTACTCAGGGACAGACAGAATTGTTACTGAGTGCCAGAGAATTGTTACTCAGGGACAGACAGAATTGTTACGGAGTGCCAGAGAATTGTTACTCAGGGCCACAGAAACTTTACTTAGGGCCACAGAATTTTTACTCAGGGACAGACAGAATTGTTACTGAGTGCCAGAGAATTGTTACTTAGGGCCACAGAAACTTTACTTAGGGCCACAGAATTGTTACTTACTCGCCACAGACACAGAATTGTTACTCGCACAGACACAGAACTGTTACTGAGGGCCACAGAAACTTTACTTAGGGCCACAGAATTGTTACTCGCACAGACACAGAAATTTACTCGCACAGACACAGAAACTGTTACTGAGGGCCACAGAACTGTTACTTAGGGCCACAGAATTGTTACTCGCACAGACACAGAAATGTTGTTACTCAGGGCCACAGAACTGTTACTTAGGGACAAAGAAACGCTAGTTAGGGCCACAGAATTCATACTCAGGGACAGACAGAATTGTTACGGAGTGCCAGAGAATTGTTACTCACGGCCACAGAAACTTTACTTAGGGCCACAGAATTTTTACTCAGGGACAGACAGAATTGTTACTGAGTGCCAGAGAATTGTTACTCAGGGACAGACAGAATTGTTACTGAGTTGCCAGATAATTGTTACTTAGGGCCACAGAAACGTTATTAGGGCCACAGAATTGTTACTCAGGGACAGACAGAATTGTTACTGAGTGCCAGAGAATTGTTACTTAGGGCCACAGAATTGTTACTCAGGGACAGACACAGAATTGTTACTGAGGGCCACAGAACTGTTACTTAGGGCCACAGAATTGTTACTCGCACAGACACAGAATTGTTACTGAGGACCACAGAACTGTTACTCGCACAGACACAGAATTGTTACACAGGGACACAGAACTGTTACTGAGGGCCACAGAACCGTTACTTAGGGCCACAGAATTGTTACTCGCACAGACACAGAATTGTTACTCAGGGACACAGAATTGTTTACTCAGGGACACATAATCGTTTAATTAAAGAGTATGTCAGACAACATGCAGAGGAGTGGCAGAGGAGGCAATGTTTTAGGAGCGAGCAGACGTGGCAGCAGAGGAAGGGGTCGAGGCAGCACTATTCGCAGCCAGAGGCCAGTGCTCCCGGTGTCATCCAGCGGTCGTGTCTCCACCGACAACCCTGCCGTCATCGATTGGTTGGCTCGGTCGTCTTCCTCTTCCCAGGTCACCTCTGACACCTACAGCCAACGGTCGGTGGGTACGTCAGACACAACCGTTAGTTGGCATGGCCCGGGACCAAGCCCACTGAAATCACGTGTCCTCTACCTGCCCCTGTCCTTTGGTGTTCCCTCACCAAGCGAAGTATCGCATGCTGTGGGCTCAGCCCCACTGTACAGTGAGGAAGAGCTAACAGAGGGCGGTCAGGAACGGGGGGAGACATCCGCCTTTTCAGCAGCTAGGCGAAGAAGTAGTGGCGAGGAGAGTGGCCCGGTAGCCGGTCTAGAGACAGGTCTGTCTCCTGACCCAGACGCAGCCGAGGGGGCTAGTAGTGAGGCGGAGACCCTACTTGATGATGAGGAGGTTGATCGCACTTGGCAGCCTCGTCGTCATCAGGCAATTTCTTCCGCATCATCAGGAGAAGAGGGTGGCAGCTTGGCAGTGAGCGAAACAGTCGGTGGGTTGCCCAGGAGACAGCAGCAGGGTCGCAGCAGTGTCAGTGGAAGCAGTGTCAGTGGAGCCAAACGGCCACGGAGTAGAGCACCAGCTCCACTGCAGCCTACCACCACGGCCAGTAGTGGTGCCGGTGTGCACGGAGGAAGCAGCAGTCAGCCAGTGAGGAGTATCGGGGGCAAAGTTTCCTACTCGGCGGTGTGGCAATTTTTCGTCAAGCCGCCCGAGGAAGTAAACGTAGCCGTATGTCGACTATGTGGCCAGAAAGTCAAGCGTGGCCAGGGGCCCATGTTGGGACTATTTGGGCCATGTTGGGACAATGGGAGACCTCCCATTGCTGCTGTCTCCATCGCCACACTCTGCCATGTGCCACTTTCAGGTCTCCTCACACACTGCTGGTGTGTAGAATTTTTTGACATAGGGTGCTGGCAGATTACGGGCCTCCCATAGCTGCTGCCAGGCCCCTAATCTGCCATAGGCCCCTATATACCGCCTCCTCATGCTGCTGCCAGGTCCAGAGTCTGTCATGGGTCCCTGTACGGCCTCCCATTGCTGCTGTCTCCATCGCCACACTCTGCCATGTGCCACTTTCAGGTCTCCTCACACTGCTGGTGTGTAGAATTTTTTGACATAGGGTGCTGGCAGATTACGGCCTCCCATAGCTGCTGCCAGGCCCCTAATCTGCCATAGGCCCCTATATACCGCCTCCTCATGCTGCTGCCAGGTCCAGAGTCTGTCATGGGTCCCTGTACGGCCTCCCATTGCTGCTGTCTCCATCGCCACACTCTGCCATGTGCCACTTTCAGGTCTCCTCACACACTGCTGGTGTGTAGAATTTTTTGACATAGGTGCTGGCAGATTACGGGCCTCCCATAGCTGCTGCCAGGCCCCTAATCTGCCATAGGCCCCTATATACCGCCTCCTCATGCTGCTGCCAGGTCCAGAGTCTCTCATGGGTCCCTGTACGGCCTCCCATTGCTGCTGTCTCCATCGCCACACTCTGCCATGTGCCACTTTCAGGTCTCCTCACACTGCTGGTGTGTAGAATTTTTTGACATAGGGTGCTGGCAGATTACGGGCCTCCTATAGCTGCTGCCAGGCCCCTAATCTGCCATAGGCCCCTATATACCGCCTCCTCATGCTGCTGCCAGGTCCAGAGTCTCTCATGGGTCCCTGTACGGCCTCCCATTGCTGCTGTCTCCATCGCCACACTCTGCCATGTGCCACTTTCAGGTCTCCTCACACTGCTGGTGTGTAGAATTTTTTGACATAGGGTGCTGGCAGATTACGGGCCTCCCATGCTGCTGCCAGGCCCCTAATCTGCCATGGGCCCCTATACCGCCTCCTCATGCTGCTGCCAAGTCCAGAGTGTGTCATGGGTCCCTGTACGGCCTCCCATTGCTGCTGTCTCCATAGCCACACTCTGCCATGTGCCACTTTCAGGTCTCCTCACACTGCTGGTGTGTTGAATTTTTTGACATAGGGTGCTGGCAGATTACGGGCCTCCCATTGCTGCTGCCAGGCACGTAATCTGCCATGGGCCCCCGTACCGACTCCTCATGCTGTGACGTTGCAACAAGGTGGAATTCAACCCTACATATGTTAGACCGCCTTTACGAACAGCGAAAGGCCATCACCGATTTCCTGATGTTAAAGCGGATAAAGGTACTCCCTGTGTAACTTAGATGTCAGCCATTGGCAGCTCATGCGTGACACCTGCGCTTGCTCAGGCCCTTTGAGGAGGCCACGCTATTCGTGAGTCGCCAGGACTATGGGATGAACGACGTCATTCCTCTGTTGCACGTCCTGGAACAAATGCTGTTAACAATGGCTGGTCAGGGTGCGGTAGACGTGGCGCACAGATCTCAACGCCACATGACCCCTGTGGGGGCAGGACAGGAAGAAGAGGAGGAGGTAGAGGAGGACATTGGTGCTCAGGAATTATTGAGTGAAATGGGTGGTTTTTCCACTCAGCGGACAGGAGTGGAGGAGCAGGAGCATCTGGTAGAGGAGGAGGAGGAGGAGGAGACAGAGGACCCAGACGCACCGTGGCAGTATGCTGTGGAGATGGAGGCAGGGAGTCCCTCGCATTCCTTGGCACAAATGGCCCATAGCATGCTCGGTTGCTTGCGTAGCGACAGCCGAATAATAACCATCAGACAGAGGGATGACTTTTGGCTGTCCACCTTTTGGACCCTCGCTACCGTTCAAAAATGGTGGCCTTTTTCACACCTGCTGAGAGGGAGGCCAAAATAACGTACTATAAAAAACCACCTATGTAGTCAGCTGGTCTCTGCCTGTCTGCGCCAACGTCCATCCTCAGACACTGTGGGCCCTGTGCGCTCGCGTTCCGCTGCCATGGCAGCAGGGGAGGGGTGGGGTGGTAGGAGCAGTGGCAGCTCCACCAGCAGCGGCTGCCTCAGTCTGCAGTCGATGATGAGTAGCTTTCTTCACCAGCGCAGTGAGGAAACTACTAACCAGCCGCAGCAGCAGCAGCATCAGGTGGACCTGGAGCAGGACCTCAAACAACAGGCTTGGGCCTACTTGGACAGCACCCTGCCAACCGAGGTAGACAATCCCCTTGACTACTGGGCAACGAAACTTGACCTTTGGCCCCAACTAGCTGAATTTGCCCTTGAAAGGCTGTCATGCCCGGCCAGTAGCGTGGCATCGGAGCGCGTGTTTAGTGCGGCAGGAGGTATTGCAACTCCGCGGAGGACACGACTGTCCACCCAAAGTGTGGAGAGACTGACGTTTGTGAAAATGAATCAGGCGTGGATTAGTCTGGATTTCAAACCACCAGTTCCTGACAACTGACTAAATCCGCCATGAATCATGCCCCAAACATGTGCCACTTTCAGGTCTCCTCACACTGCTGGTGTGTTCCATTTTTTGTCATAGGGTGCTGGCAGATTACGGGCCTCCCATAGCTGCTGCCAGGCCCCTAATCTGCCATGGGCCCCTATACCGCCTCCTCATGCTGCTGCCAGGTCCAGAGTCTGTCATGGGTCCCTGTACGGCCTCCCATTGCTGCTGTCTCCATCGCCACACTCTGCCATGTGCCACTTTCAGGTCTCCTCACACTGCTGGTGGGTTCCATTTTTTGTCATAGGGTGCTGGCAGATTACGGGCCTCCCATAGCTGCTGCCAGGCCCCTAATCTGCCATGGGCCCCCGTACCGACTCCTCATGCTGCTGCCAGCCGTAATCTGTCATGGGCCCCTGTTGTCGCTTGTTGGCATATTCCGCTCGTTCAGATGCTCCTTCTCCTGCTACTCCTCTTCACGGATTCCGTCAGCAGTCTTTCTTGGAATCCGTTTTCCAAGAGACAACAGTTTGCGAGCACGCACCAGACGGTGCAGAAACTGAACGTCCTCCTGTCCAAGTTGCTGCTGCCAGGCTCGTAATCTGTCATGCGCCCCTGTACCGCCTCCTCATGCTGCTGCCAGGTCCAGAGTGTGTCATGGGCCCCCGTACCGGCTCCAAATGCTGCTGCCAGGCCCGTAATCTGTCATGGGCCCCTGTACCGCCTCCCCATGCTGCTGCCAGGTCCAGATTGTGTCATGGGTCCCTGTACGGCCTCCCATTGCTGCTGCCAGGCCTGTAATCTGCCATGGGCCCCCGTACCGACTCCTCATGCTGCTGCCAGGCCCGTAATCTGCCATGGGCCCCTGTACCGCCTCCTCATGCTGCTGCCAGGTCCAGAGTGTGTCATGGATCCCTGTACGGCCTCCCATTGCTGCTGTCTCTATCGCCACACTCTGCCATGTGCCACTTTCAGGTCTCCTCACACTGCTGGTGGTTTCCATTTTTGTCATAGGGTGCTGTATGGCCTCCCATTGCTGCTGCCTCCACCGCCACACTGTGGCTCCACACTCTGGTTTTGGCCCCGTGACTGCCAAATGAGTGAAGTGTGCGGTGATTCTAAGATCGACGGCACTCATCTGCATGTCATACTGCCTGACAGTATTATTTCTCTTCCACAGCAGACTCCAAGGGCATTTAAATTAAAGGTACAGTGTTCAGCACTAATATTAAGTCTCTCTGAAGCCTAGAAACACCCTTTTTTAAGTTAAATTCACAGCGAATATATTCGACTCGAATCGAAATTTTTCCACGAATTCGCCGAATCAGTCGAATCGAATTTTTGAATACTTCGCTCATCTCTAATCAATTCAAAACCACTGAGAGAGATCCCAGAAAGAAAAAGGGTCTACTCCTTGGGTCCCACTTTTGCGGGCTGTGAGGCCCGCGTTTGCTCTGGCACACCAGCCCATTCATTTGAATCAGCTGCTGTGCCCATGTTATCACACAAAAAAGGTGCATGCACCTTTTTGAAAATGTGGCCGTAGGGAAACTGTAGGGCCTTTTTGATCAGGCGATTTCCCTGCGGTTCCCGCACTATGACACGAACACAATATTTTGCTTTGAACTTTTAACAGCCCCAAGGAACCAGCTGCTCTTGGGTCAGGACAGACTATGATTTGGCCCAGTGGTCCTTCAGAATTTGTTAAATAGTGACACAGCTCTGTTCTTGTAAAGCAATCAATTTTAATGTATTTTTAAAGCCAGAGATGCATTGCACTGAAAAGGTACAAGACAGCACATATCAACAACCATAAAACGGATTTATGAAAAGGAAAAGTCCACTCTCAGGCTAGATTGAGATCTTTGCACATCAGAAAAGCAGCAAAATTGTGCACTTCCCAGCACGCAGAGAAAGACATTGCCCTTTAGTAGACGTGCAGTAACTAGTAATGGTTAATGGCACCCCCACGCATCTGCAAATTCATGCATTTGTACACACGCCAACCTCATGGTGCCATAGCACCATGCAAATTGGTATGGCACATTTCTTAAAATGAGTCAGGCACTTCTTTTCCACATTTCTCGTGCATAGGGCAGCCTATGAACTGGATGGGCTGCCATGCACACAGATACTTGGTAACATCTGTAGGTGTGAATTAAGATTTAGCTGAGATTTCCTAATTTACAGGGCCTGGCCTGCACATCACAAACTTACTGGAATACACCAAAGTGAAATGTTAAATTAACATACAGGAAAACAGCAGTAAAAAAAAAAAAAAAAAAAAAAAAAAAAAAAAAAAAAAAAAAGAGTATATTACATATTACTGATCCAGTAGATCATTAGGTTACCTGAATATGATCATTTCTTCAGAGTTGCCACCAGAGTTGAACTGTAAATGTTGCAAGTTAAGAGTACGAATGTTAAAGATCTTTCCTGATTCAGGCAAATGGAAGATTTCCTCTCCTGGATGGTGATCTGGTATTGCATTTGTGACAACTGAAAATTTCTTCAAGAGGTCCCTATAAAGTGAGTAAAAGTGCTACATTCAAAAACCTCCTTTAAAATAAACTACATAAACATTGTGTTTCAGATCAAAAAGATTCCCAAAAACAAGGAGTATTGCTGTGAAACTAAGGAAAGCCATTATAACAGAACCATACAACGGTTTACAATAAAAAATTTTTTTTTTTACAAAAAAATGTATACAGTCAGTATACCTAAAAGTGACATTTCTTTTTCATCCTTTGAGGTACACAGGAATTTTTAGACTGTTGGGTTATATTGCTAGGGAAAATGAACACGGACAACAAAAGTCGCTGCCCAGCACAGGGTAACCCTGCAAACAACCACTGTGACATCATTTTTTTGCAAGTGTACTTAGGAGAGTGTCTTATTCAGCTGTAGTTCTTGGTCAGGGCTTGTTCACACCAGAACTCCATGCGCATCTCCCGAACCACGATCAAAACACCCTGCTGTTGCAAAGCGGCTGTCAATGTTAACGAAACCCTCTCAATGAACTACGAGGGCGCTTTTGTCCACCGATTCTTCCTGACATTCAGTAACTGCCTGTCCGTATCGGAAGTACGGGCAGACAGCTTACTGAGGGTCTGCAGGATCCATGCATTGCATCCACAATCTGGATATGGAAATCCTGGAAAGTTCTCTAATAAGTAAAAAACAGTACAGATTCCTAGTTTATTATTTATGCTGGTGTTGTCTTTACGACAGACCTGTGATTGCCAGTTACTACTTGTTCATGTTCCAGTTTACACAGAACTCAGCTTACTCAGATCAGGTCAGTATGCCTGCAGATTCCATGTGGAGCTAATGGTCCAGAGCAGAGGCAATTTTTCTGTATCAGTCTCTGCAACTCATCACTGCAAGTTCCTTGTAGGTTTATGTAGGTTGAAATTCCTCTGTTTTTAAGTACGGAGACTATCTTTATGGTATTTTCTACAGTAGCATCTTTAGTTAATTGACCATTTTGTGTGGAAGTTCATTTCTTCCTTATTGTAGATTTGCTTAAGTACCCCTGCTGCTTAAGTAGCCACATATGACAGCCTTCACTTCTGTCTCTGGTAAATAGAAGTGAGGTCACTTTACATATGTAAGCACAAATCAGTATTTAGTTTCATTTGGATGTGCTGTTCTGATAAAAGCTTCCCAGCTTTACTGCTGGTTGGGTCTCCTGCCTGTACTCATGTGAGGGCACCCTGCTTACTGTGCTGGACTGTGAAATACTTGCTTCAGAAGTATTTGTTCTGCGTGGTCTACCAGGAACAACATCTCTACAGATCGTTTCTAGATAATATACATCTAAGAATACACTGATGGCAAGACCACCAATCTTCCTCAGCAGAAGATGCCTATGAAAGATAATGCCAAGGCATCCTCTTCTCAACTGTTAAATGTTTCTTTTGTTTCTCTACTTCCTCATCTGCAAGCCAGGTTCCAAGCCTGCCAGCTAGGTCTGGGATTCAAAGTCTGCCAAATCCTCAGATAAGCATTCCCCCAGAGTGGAAGGAAGCTTTATAAATTGTACCTCTGACACTTGAATGCAGGAGGAGGGGGTTCCTAGGCTACAAAATGGAGTTTAGCTCCCTGTTCCCTTCTCAGTTTCTTACATCTCAGATTCGAGCTTTCCAGTCCAGCAGTCAAAAACTGTAGCTTTCTTTGAGACAGTTCCAATTGCCCAGTTTCACTTCACACCTCTACTATGCAACATTCTGTTGTTATGGAACAAGTTAATCAGGTCCCTGGACAGATCCAGTCATTAGCACAGTGGACCAGGTTGTCCCTGGCCTGATGGCTCAAAGCAGGCTCTGAAATCAGGGAAATCCTTGTTTCCGTATTCTGGAAGATATTCATGATGGATATAAGCTTGTCAAGCAGGGGAGGAGCCCTGGGCACACTGATGATGCATGGGACTTGCTCATTGGAGGAGACTCATCTTCTGATCAGCATTATAAAACATTGCGTGATTAGGCCATCTTGCTGTAAGGGATTTTTGGATTTAATCAGAGATCACCCTGACTTTGGCATACATCAGCCATCATGGAGGAACCAAGGTCTTGCCGTGGCAAAACAGGTATGCTTGGGTCCTGTCCTGCGCAGAACTTAACATTCTAGTTTTTAATGACCCAGGTATAGACAAATGGCAGATGGACTTCCTCAGCCAGAAGCACCTGGACCCTATACCTGGAAGTGTTCCAGGACCTTTTTATAAAGTGGGTTGACACTGAATTTGACCTTCTGGCCTCCAGGTTCAACAACAATCTGCACAAGTTTGTCTCCAGATATAGGGATTCTCTAGCAGAAGCAGTGGATGCCTAGGAACACTGTGGGATCTGTAAACTCTGATCTACACTTTTCCTCCCCAAAAGTTTTTCTCGTCTGCTTCCTAGGATAGTTATAGAGGGCATTCTGGAGATCCCCATTGCCTTTGGCTGGCTCAGGAGGTTGTGGTACGCTGACCTGGTAAGGCTCCTGGCAGATGCACCATGGGCTGTCAGATCATCAGGATCTTTTGTCTTAAGGAACATTTTGCCATACGATTTCACGGTCTCTGGTTTGAAGTGCATGCTGTCGGGCATCTTTGAATTGTGTTTCCTATAATGCGAACAGTTGGGAAAACAGCTTCCCATAAGGTCAGATCATCAGACATGGAAGGCATACTTTACTTGGTGAGAGTCTCATGGCTTCCACCATAGGACATCTTTGTGGGAGAAATCATCATCTTCCAGCAGCTTGATTTGTATCCGCTTTTGGCTTTCAGCACTTTCAAGGGCCATGTTTCTGACAGGATTGTCTTGCTTCAAAAACAGTTGGTCTTCCAAGCCTTGATTTAGACCTTTGTAAAGGGGAGCTTCCCACATAGCTCTCCCTGCCTGTGTTCCCCTATGACTCTGTGGGATCTGAACTTAGTTCCCTCAATACTTAAAAGCTCACTGTGTGAAACCATTAGAGACATTCCATTCACTACTCTTACCCACAAGGTGGTGTTTCTTGCACGAGGACTAGGAGATGCGAAGTTCCAGAACTTCCTTCTTAAAGTGGCTTCTCTGTTTCACCTCAACCAAGACAGTTCTCCCACCCCTCTGTCTGGCTGCAGTTCACCGAAAGGGAATTTCCCTCCATTGTCAGGTTTGGCTTGAACTGTCAAGAGTATCTCTCAGACACTGTTTTCAGAGGTCTGATTTCTTTTGTATTCTGGATAGACCCTGTAAGGGTACATCGGCAAGCTCTGCTAGGTCTTGAGTGCTTTTTGTTCTTTTCAGCATCATATAGCATTTTCTAAGCTCTAGCAGGTGGATATTCTGGCCTCATCCGACGACATCTTTGGGTGTTGGATCCTTAAGGCTTCAGGTCCTTCTGAGCTAAAGGCAGTCTTTAGTTTTCCAACGTTCTGTTAACCTTTGTTGCTATGATACCCGCCCCCCATGACTGCTTTTTTGAATTTCCTGACAGTCTAAGAATTCCTGTGTCTTTCAATGCATGAGGAATAACATTCTGCACTTACCATACATGTACTTTCTTGCAGACCATTGATAGACACAAGTCTCTCCACTATGTTTATTTGCATGCTTTTGGCACTACTTTGCTACAAAACTGAAGCATGATAGTTGTGGGCGGGGCTATACTGAGCAGACTTTTTTTGTTGCCAGTATGTATTTCTCCTGTGGGTGGCAGTGTAACGTCTGAGAATTTCTGTAAATATACCATTTCAATACCCAGTGAATATTGATCCTGCCAGAAATCTTGTCAGCTGATAACTTGCTGTCCAGCAGTCTTGCCAATTACATTACCCTCAGCTTTCTCTAATAACTACAGAACCAATCACACCTGTTATGAAGAAGAGCAGAGACAGAGGTGTTTGTAGCACTGTCCTATGAAGGCCTACAAACATGCAGCCACCACATCTGAGGATTGGTAATCTGCAATATTACATTTTGTTTATGAAATTTAATCTATGTTTGTAGGGAACTTTAGCAGTAAGATCTCTATGACTATGTTCCCATTACTCCTGCTACAACTGTAATCCAGAGTTTTCAGTTGGATATTTAATTTACTTGATATTATAAAGGATGACAACAGGAAGAGCAGGAACAAAACAAGGTGGGAAAGAAAAGACAAATGCCAAGTGGGAAATGGAAATGAAATGACAGCTCACCCGTACACATTTCAAATACAATGGAATGCAACAGGGACACCAAGCCTATCATATTCCAGCTGTGATTGTTTAAGGATAATTTCAGGTTTGAGCAGAATGTGTTTTTACAGAATGCATGTACTTTTGCCACAGACAAGCTGCTAATTATTAAGGTGTTCTTAACAGTTGGATTTAATCTCAGCACTCCTAATCCTAATTTCTCTAGATGTGTTCAGGAAGGTTAGAAAAAAAGATAATGACAGGGAAGGAGGAGTGAATGGAAAATGTATTTTGGAGGATTATGAAAAATGGGATTCTTGACATCCCGTTGGATGTGTAAGCTCTTTGCTTCTCCGTGCAAGTCAATAGTAGCCAAATCAAGAAAGCCGTATGCATAATTATGGGAAGAACAGCTTTCTTATAATTCTACACAAATAGCCCTCTGTCTGCAGGTAGCAAAGAAGTGCTTTATTTCCTAGGTACATTTAGGAATAAATAAAAATGCAGTTTCTCTTTAACATACCATCAACAAAACCCGGCATGTCAATATCTACTACAATAGTTTTAATAAGATTTATGCAGCTACACTTCAGCATTTATCTTTATTTTAGCTTTATTAACCTGTCTTTAAATATGAACTCACATAAATTGGCAGACAGTCTATTATAGCATACTGATTTCTAAATCAATAAGACAAAAACTGAAGTGCTCATTTTAAAAGTGTAAAATAAAGAAATAAACATCTGAACTCCTAAAAAACAATGCAACAGTCTATTATAGCAAACTGATTTCTAAATCAATAGCGGAGCTCAATAGAAGATTTGAAGTTGAATGCAATTCTTTTCTACAAATATTCGACCTGTGCATTCCTATTACTGAACTCTGCTATAACACATTCCTAGTATGCTATAGCAACCCCATATAAAAGGCGAACATTAGTGTGACTGAAAAACTGTGGCAGTATGATGGGGGGAATTATAGGATAGAACCATCTAAAGAGAAGTTTTGGTTGCCTTTTCCCAACATAGGAGTTGATTTACTAAAACTGGATAGTGCAAAATCTGGTGCAGCTCTGCACAGAAACCATTCAGCTTCCAGGTTGTATTGTCAAAGCTAACTTGAACAAGCTGAAGCTAGAAGCTGATTGGCTTCCATGCACAGCTATACCAGATTTTACACTCGATAGTTTTAGTAAATCAGCCCCATAGACTGTAACTTCTGTATGGACCATAGGGAGGAATTGGGAGACAATAATAGAAAAAAAATGTTATTCACACACTGTTTACTGTATGTCCCGCATGCAAGGTTGCAGTTGGCACGGTCATTGGTGCAATCTAGGGTTACCAAACATTGTGTTAAATCAAAAGATACACAAAGCTGAATTCAACATAAATTTCAAAACTACCCTTGCAGTGGGGCTTGTATTTGTCTAGGACACTGTTAAAAAGCAGTTTTACTTACCTTATTTATCCCTCACTCCAACCTGCAATCACCGTTCTCTTCATTCCAAAGCTCTGAAATATGGGTGCACCCTTGGTATCCTCACTTACAATGCTGGACTGCTGATCCGGCAGTGTATGTGATGACATCAGACGAAACGCTGCAGCAAAGTAGCTTAAGGTTACACAGCAAATAGGAACCCTGTCTGCAGGAGTGATAAAGGAAGCAAAACCGCATTTAGAAATGCAGTGATGGGGTAGAAAAATACAAGAATTGTTTTGAATTCCTCCCAGAGTTCAGTTTTGTTACATAGGGGTTGATTTACTAAAACTGGAGAGTGCAAAATCTGGTGCAGCTGTGCATGGCAGCCAATCAGGGCTTCTAGCTTTAGCTTGTTCAATTGAAGCAGAGTTCCACCCAAAAGTGGAAGGTCCGCTCATCTGCCTCCTCCCCCCTCTGCTGCCACATTTAACACCTTTTGAGGGGGTAGTGGGTACCTGGTTTTGACAGCCAGTCTTTGGCCTCCCTCCTTCCCCCCGCAGCCCCCCCGAGACATTTCACAGCTCCCAGAGGACTGCAGCCCATTCACAAAGCACAGTGCGATTTGCGCATGCGCAGTAGGAAATCAGCTGTGAAGGCTTCACTGCCGATTTCCATTAGTAGAGATGGCTGCGCCAGAACCCAACAGCTGATTGAAGAATCGGCTCGGGGTGAGGACACTGCTGGACACCTGGACAGGTAAGTGCCCTAACATTAAAAGTCAGCAGATTAAGTATTTGTAGCAGCTGACTTTTTACTTTTGGGAGGGGCAGAACTCTTCTTTAAAGCTTTGACAAATAAAAATAGCCGATTGGTTTCTATGCAGAGCTACACTATATTTTGCACTCTCCAGTTTTAGTAAATCAACCCCATAGTTTCTGTAGCTGACTAAATCCACGATGGGCACTGACCTAATCAAGAGACAGAAATTGAATAGCTAATGAAAACATCAAAGGGATGAGTTGTAACATTGCTTTGTCAAAAAAATAAATGAATGAAATAAAGATCCCTGTGTACTTCAGAACAAACTAAATATAAATAAAAGTGACTATACACAGAAACTGAGTAAACAAGATTACCTGTGTTCGTCAGTAAGTTCTCCATCCTGTTCACTGTCCATCACTTTTTCATCAGCCACTCCCTGTCCTCTCTCTAGGTCTTTGTGAAGCTGCTTCTCTATTGCATCGATTCTGTTATGTGATAACAAATGTACACATTACAAAGGTCTGGACACTTACTGAAAACTGATTACGACAGAGAAAAAAATCCCAACAATATTGGGAGCCTCCCCTGTGGTGATTTGCTCTACGTACAAGACAATCGTCCAATTCAACAGGAAATGGCCAACTTTCAGGATGTGTGTATCGCAGGCTGTTCAACAGAAGCCAGCCTAATGACCAGCTTCTGTCGAACGGTCAGGCTGGAAAACCAGCTCTCAATGAGTGCTTTCAACCAATGGCTGCAGAGTTCATCTGTGTATTCTGACTTGGGATGCGGGGTCTGATTGAACAAAAGAACTGAACATGTATACCCTGTTTTAGCCCAGTATTCAGCTCTTTGTCTCAGTCACAGCAATTTCCCCAGGATGCCTAGTCACACCTGCATGTTAGCCTTTGCAAGGCGGGTGAAAACAGCTTGTGTAGAAACAAAGATAATCATCAAAATTAATTATATAAAAAGTTTTTTTTTTTTTACTGCACAATAAGCAACAAAAAGGGCAAAAATAAAGCCGACAGCACATTCGATGAGTACAAATATGCATTATATACTTTGGATACTATGTTTGCTACCTGGTCCCTTTAGGATTGGCTCTTAAGGGTAATATGGGTGTTTTTTGGATTTGAGCATATAGGGTTAATGTTGGGAGGATTTATATAGTAGATACTGTATGGATGGCAGCTATCTCTTGAAAAAGTCACCACTGACAAAATGTGCTGAGAGCACGCTGTTGGTTTTATTTTGGCTGGCAATAAAGAGCTTTCTTTAAAATGTAATATTGCTGCTTTTCCTTGTCTCTATGTAAGTAAATACCAAAAGGCTATAAGGCAACAGCCATTCCAGCAGAGTCCGGCACGCTTCTTAGGAAGAAACTATCCAGATGGCTGCACACAGAGACCAGCTCAGTAGCAATGTAAAACAAATCTTGACTGAAAGGGAAATAATAAATACATACATGTAATCGGTAAAGCGGAGCTGAATGAAACACATCTATCCTCCTAGAACACCAGCAAAAAAAACTGAAGCATGCCAGGAGTGGGAGGGGTTATACTGGGCTGTCCCACATTTTGTTGTTTGTCAGTGTTCAATCCTTCTATAAGTGGCAATATAACCTAGCAGTCTCTGGTTTGTGTTCCTCAATGGACAAGATAAGTAGCTTAATTTGGACTCAGTCCTTTAAATATTGTACTAGTCTTAGACCTTTTTGCACAGCGCCCTTAGGACCAGGCCTTTTGGCTAGGACCAGGGCAATTTTTGCTACAGGCCTCAGGGCCTGGTCTGTGCACAACTTGGCACGCTACCACTTTTTTATTTTTTTATTTATTTAATTTAATCACTCCCACGTTTTGTCACTTTTTCTTGCTTTTTTGTGTGTGTTTTTCACAGGATGGAGGGTGTGGGTCCTCGGGCCTTCCCTGAAGTCTAGGGGGAGGATGTGTGGCCTTTTGGTTCCTTCCTCCCCTGATCCCTAGGGGGTTTTCTCTTCGGGAGAGCCCCCTGACCAAGTACTGGGTGTCCGGCTTCGGCTGGACACAAGGAACGGTGGTCCACCAGGCCTTTTGGCCAGGAGGACCAAATGGGAACCTTGTCCTTGTCAGGAGCTTCATGCCCCGGGGGATCAGGGTAGTGGTCCAGCCCCTTTAGGGGTAGGACAAAAGCACACCCCTAAGTGCACTTTTTCGTGTGGTGTTCGCACTTTCACTTTTTTTGTGATCACTTACGGGTTTTTCGTTCTAGTTTGCACGTTTGTGGACTAAAAAAAACAAAACAAAAAAAAAAAAAACTAGTCTTAGACCTTTAGCTTTGAGTGGAGCACCTATTGTATATTGGTCTGTTCCATCTAGGGTGGAGCAAAAGGATACATATTTAAAGTGGTTCTAAAGCCTGAATATTTTTACCCTTCTGCATTCCTTGCATTAAGGTAAAAAATGTTTAGGTTTAAGTATAGCCCCCTCACCCCCAAATATTTACCTGAGCCCTCAAACGACCCAGTGTTGTTGCACAAGTGCAGTGGCTTGCTACTCTTCTGCAGGCTTTGCTGAGAGCAGGTGGAGCCATTGGCAGAGTCAAATCTTGTAACAAGGGAGCAGTGGGTAGGGCCGAACCTCGATGTGTGTCAATGGACACTGGCAGCAAGTCTTGGGCTCAAGCACCCAGGGGAGCCACAACAAGAAGCAGCTTCTTATGCTGGCACACCAAGCAGGAAAAGGGGCAAGGACCCCCAGCAGGGAACCTAAGAGGAGGATCTGGATCGCTCCTGCAATTCTATTGTACAGGCAGGTAAGTATAAGCCGGTTTGATATTTTATAACAAATAAGTTGTAAGACTTTACAATCACTATAATTATTTTTGGACACTTGCTTTGAATCAGTTTGATTCCATTTAATGTGGAACATACATTATTTTTGGACAGCTTTGAGAGAAAAGAAATATGGTTTACGCAAAACTGAATCCAAAAACACAAAAACCCACAACGTCAATCTCTCTTAGAAAATGACCCCACAATTAGTGTTCCTGCTGTTACGTTTTTGCACTGCTATTTATAGCGTATACATAATGGAAATCTTTCATAATGCATTATACACTTGAACATAAGAGTTTTTGTTTATTAATCTCTTGCCGCCCGGCCATTGGCCGATTGGCGGACGGCAAAATCCCTCAGCTTTCCTGGTGGACGCCATATGGCGTCCTTCCGGGCATGCGCAGTTTGCGTGCCTGCAAAGCCGCGCAGCGGTGCGATCTGTCACCGGCCATGTACCTCGTTGCCGGTACCATGTGACCTGCTGTGACCAATCACAGCAGGTCACATGCCAGTTGTATACATTCGTGCCATCCATTGTATACTAGTGTGTCTAGCTGTGAATGGTCACAGCGATCACATGCACAAGCTGGGCCAATCACAGCCCAGCTGTGTCATATGATTAGCCGTGGCCAAATCACAGCTAAGCAAAAAAAAAAAAAAAAAAAAAAAAACCCCTGAATGAATCGATGTCATTCAGGTAAATGCTTGCTTATAGCAAAGTAATTTTTTGCTATAAGCAAATTGTGAAAAAAAAAAAAATACTGATCACTTCCCCAAAGTAGTACAATGTTACTATGGTAACAAAGTACTACTTTGGTCATAGTGAAATACGAAAAAAAAAATCTTAAAAAAAAAAAAGAAAATAAAAAATTAAAAAGAAAAAGAAAATTTAAAAAAAATTATATATAATTTTTTTTCATACAGTCACCAGTCAGTGTCCCTGATCACCACCATGCCAGTTATATGATGACACTGTACTGCACTGGTGACAGTATGTAAAAAAAAAAAGTGAAAACAATTTTTTTAATTTTTTAATTTTCCGAAAAATGACAAAAAAAAAAAAAATACAACTTAAAAAAAAATACTCGCCATGCCTCTTATGAAGTACGTCGGACTGTCTACTTGGCAAAAAGGGGTCATTTGGGGGATATCTGTACTGTTCTGACATTCTTGGACCTCAAGAAATTAGATTGGCTGTCAGTACTTCAGGACTGATCAATATTCAGATATATCCCATAGTTTGTGAACTCTAACTTTTCTACAAACTAAATAATACATCCTAATTTGGGTTATTTTCACCAAAGACATGTAGCAGAATACATCTTGGCCTAAATTTATGAAGAACAATTATCAATTTACAAACTTTTATAACAGAAACAAAGAAAAACGTGTTTTTTTTTTCAAAATTTTTGGTCTTTTTTTGTTAATTTAGCAAAAAAATAAAAATCCCAGTTGTGATTAAATATCACCAAAAGAAAACTCTAGTTGTGTAAAGAAAATGATAAAATTTTAGTTTGGGTACAATGTTGTATGACCACACAATTGTCAAAGTGTGAGGAGCGCTGAAATCTGAAAATTGTCCTGGGCAGGAAGGGGGTAAAAGTGCCCGGTATGGAAACAGGTAATTTAAGTATATTACCAGTGTATTGTACAGCTCCTGGTCATATTCAAAATTTGTTAGCATTTCTTAGTACATATTATATTGCTAGCATGTGAATTTAAACAGGGGCCACTAGAAGATCAGAGAAATCATGGCCAGGGGCGGACTGACCATTTAAAAACTCGGGCACCGCCCGAGGGCCCGGGGTCAGTAGGGGGCCCCATGAGATGCCCCTGGTACCTTTTTCATAGGCTTTTTTGAGTTTGGGCAAGGACACAGGGGCCCCATGATCCCCTATTGCTTGGGGGCCCCATGAGTTGTCAGTCCGCCCCTGGTCATGGCTATATTCTAATTCTAGAAAAAACATCGCTGATCTCCATTTTCACCAGGTATTAACCACATTTTCAATAAGCCAAGCTTTTACCGATTGCTTTTTACACTTGTAAGTAAAAAGGATCAGTTTAGAATATGGTTGCACATACCTTTCGCTCTCCTCTTTCTCTTTTACTAGACACTCCAGATTGTTATCATAGAAAGGAGTTTGTAAAAGTTCCTTTAACCTGTTATTTGCCTTAAAAATAAAATAAAAAAGTCAATCTATTGAAACAATCAAGTATACAGATACTTAAGTATGACTAATGTAGTAAAAGGTGTTATAGTGAGCGCGACTTAGATGAAAAAGTGTATAAATAGGTATACAAAACAGTACTACTTAGCAGCTGATACACCAGAAAGGTAACCAAACAAAAACCTTCAATCAAAACGTATATATATCAAATAAAAAGGTGCAGCGCTTAACAATGGAACACAGTATATACACACACTATATGTTCATACGTGATATCACTCTAATGGTGATCCATAAATACAAAAGTTCATTATAATAGTGCGGATCTCTCCATGATCCGCACTATTATAATGAACTTTTGTATTTATGGATCACCATTAGAGTGATATCACGCATGAACATATAGTGTGTGTATATACTGTGTTCCATTGTTAAGCGCTGCACCATTTTATTTGATATATATACATTAAGTATGACTAATGCTTATTGTATTGTGTTCTGTGCAGGTCAAATTCAAATAAAACAGTGCGCCAAATTTAGTGAAATCTTCAAGGATCCATATTATGTCTTGAGGATCACAACCTACTTAATTCCTGAAAGATTGTAGAACTTTTAGAGCAATTGAAGCCACACAAAAAGTCCATAGAATTTTTCTAAAGCATTCAGTTACAATTTAACCTAAATCATTAAACCCACCAAGAGCAGAAAATAAGAAGTGAGAGGGCAATACAGATCCCAAAAAACACTAGTTTTGAAAATGTTTTGGCTTGCGTACAAGGGGACCTGAACCATGTGCAATGTAGCCACACAAAAACATGTTTTCAAGGTAAAATTAAGTGTTTTCAACAGGAGTTTGTGACGTGTTCACCTACATTCTTTTACAATTGAGCACAGCAGTGTTTATCAAAGTTTGGTCAGCAGGCACACACCAGGTAGTCCCTAGTCTCACATAAGCAGTAGGACAAGCCAAAGTTGGACAGCAGTGGGCAGAAACAGGGTTTACAATGCCAGTCACTCCCTCCCTGTTCAGTGCACCAAATGCCGCAGGTTAGATAGGTCCCAGTCTCCCCAATGGGGATCACCTTCCTCCAAATCGGATCACTTTTACATTAATGCCTGCAAAATGTACCGGGATCGTGGTTGTAGCCTCAACCATAATCCTGGTATACCACCTTAATACAAGGACATACATACATATTAGTGGGTCACCGAAATGAAAAATTCTGGTGCCGAAACCAAAAATTCAAAATGCACTTGACTGAAATGCGGTTTTTAAAAAATGAATATATATTTTTTGGAAAAAAATACACTTTGGTTAAAAAAACAAATATATACCCCAATTTTTTGTAAAAATATGAAAGGATGTTACGGTGAGTAAATAGATACCCAACATGTCATGCTTTAAAATTGCGCACGCAGGTTACAGAGGAGGTCTAGTGCGAGAATTATTGCTCGTTTTGACATCCATGGCGATACCTCACGTGTGTGGTTTGAACACAGCACGTGGACACTTTAAACTTTTTTTTTTTTTTAATTTTTTTTTTTTTGCACTGTCCCTTTAAAAAAAAATTTAATCACTTTTATTCTTATCACAAGGAATGCATGCATCCCTTGTGATAGAAATAATTAGTGACAGGTCCTCTTTATGCAGACATGTGGGGTCAATGAGACCCCACATCTCTCCTCCTCTGCAATGTAAAGCATTAGATCAAAAAAAGCATTGATCTAGAGCTTTTATAACAAAACAAAAAATAAAAAAAAAATGGCAGGAACCGAAAGTGACATCGGTCCAGTCCTCCAAAGGCATAGAGATGAGTAGAGGCCATCTTTCCTTCACTTATCTCTATGCCCAGCGCCGTGATTTTTTGATGGTTTTTCAGGGAAGGCTGAGAACGACCGGAGCAGCAGTTGGTGGCGGCGAGGGGTGGGGTTTTTTTTTCGGTACCTGTATCAATGTTTTTTTTTTCATATCGGCGGAGGAGTGTTTTCAGACGAAACGTTTCGGCAACCGACATTTCGGTGCATCCCAAATGTATGTGTATATATATCATATATATACACACACACACACACACACACACACACACACTATATATTGCCAAAAGTATGATTTTTTTTTTTTTTTAATGGCATCCCAGTCTTAGTCCGCAGGGTTCAATATTGGGTTGGCCCACCCTTTGCAGCTATAACAGCTTCAGCTCTTCTTTGAAGGCTGTCCACAAGGTTTAGGAGTTTGTCTATGGGAATGTTTGACCATTCTTCCAGAAGCGCATTTGTGAGGTCAGGCTCTGATGTTGGACAAGAAGGCCTGGCTCGCAGTCTCTGCTCCAATTCATCCCAAATGTGTTATATTGGGTTGAGGTGTAGGCCAGTCAAATTCCTCCACCCCAAACTGGCTCATCTAAGTCTTTATGGATTTTGATTTGTGCACTGGTGCACAGTCATGTTGGTACAAGAAGGGGCCATCCCCAAACTGTTCCCACAAAGTTGGGAGCATGACATTGTCCAAAATGTCTTGGTATGCTGATGCCTTAAGAGTTCCCTTCACTGCAAATAAGGCTCTAAGCCCAACCCCTGAAAAACAACCCCACACCATAATCCCCCCTCCACCAAACTTTACACTTGGCACAATGCTGTCAGGCAAGTACCATTCTCCTGGCAACTGCCAAACCTAGACATGTCTATCAGATTGGCACACAGAGAAGTGTGAATTGGCATTCCAGAGAACACGTCTCCAATACATCCGACGCTTTGCATTGCACTTCGTGATGTAAAGCTTGAATGCAGCTGCTCGACTATGGAAACCCATTCCATGAAGCGCTCTATGCACGGTTATGATAATCTGAAGGCTATACAAGGTTTGGATGTCTTTAGCTATTGACTCTGCAGACAGTTGGCGACTTCTGCGCACTGTGCGATTCAGCATGCGCCGACCCCGCTTTGCCATTTTACATGTCCTACCACTCGGTAGCTGAGTTGCTGTTGTTTCCAGTTGCTTACACTTTGTTATACTACCACTAACAGTTGACCATGGAATATTTAGTAGGAAGGAAATTTCATGGATGGACTTATTGCACAGGTGGCAACCTATCACAGTACCACATTTGAATTCACTGAGCTCCTGAGAGTGACCCATTCTTTCACAAATGTTTGTAGAAGCAGTCTGCATGCCTAGGTGCTTGGTTTTATACTCTGTGGTCATGGAGGTAATTGGAACACCTGAATCCCATCATTTGGATTCCCAATACTTTTGGCAATATAGCGTATATAACACACTTCTTCACTTTTGCAGGCTTCCTCTACGATGCAAGACTGATCCCTGCAGCTTCTTCTCCCCTATGCTCCAGTGGTTGCAGGTCCCTCAACTTCAAGTCCCATGCAGGCATGGAGGAACAGTCCACAGCTGAAGAGTGGGGGAGTGCTGGCTATTGCGGAAGCAAAGATCGGGTAAGAAAAACAATTCCCCCCCCCCCCCCGTGTTAGACCTAAACAAGCCTTTAACCTTGCAGCCCCACTGCAAGATAGCATTTTATATTTTCCCTGGTGTTGGGCTTTAAGGTGAAATATCCAGAGACCTCCCTACTGCCAGAGAATGTTCTCTAACAGCCATAATGCTGCAAAGGCTAGCAAGAGAGGGAAACAATACATACAGTATCTCACAGAAGTGAGTACACCCCTCACATTTTTGTAAATATTTTTATTAGAACTTTTCATGTGACAACACTGAAGAAATGACACTTTGCTACAATGTACAGTGGTGAGTGCACAGCTTGTATAACAGTGTAAATTTGCTGTCCCCTCAAAATAACTCAACACAGCCATTAATGTCTAAACTGCTGGCAACAAAAGTGAGTACACCCCTAAATGAAAAACTGGGCCCAAAGTGTCAATATTTTGTGTGGCCACCATTATTTTCCAGCACTGCCTTAACCCTCTTGAGAATGGAGTTCACTAGAGCTTCACAGCTTGCCACTGGAGTCCTCTTCTACTCCTCCATGACGACATCACGGAGCTGGTGGCTGTTAGAGACCTTGCGCTCCTCCACCTTCTTGTCACGTACCTGATGGGAGACTGAATTGACGAGGTCGGCCTCACTTGTGTCACTAATCCTGAGCCCGCTGAGGTTGGAACAGAGGGTGTCTAAGGACCAGGGGGACAAGAGCGCCAGGGTTTTGCTTGCGGCTGTTGCAGATGATGACCTTGTTAAGCAGGATATCCTCCAATTTGGGTACTGTGGAGATAGACCAGGCAAGACCAGGCAGGTACAGTGGATTGCCAGATGCACAGCAGAGCCAGGTATGTAGCCAGAACACAGGACTGGAACAGAGTCGTAGGATAGCCAGGGTCATAAGTGTCGGGCAGCGTGGTACAGGATCAGGAGGAAATGCCAGAGTCAAGAACAGAGCCGAAGTCAGGAACCGGGGGGGGGGTGGAGAGTACTCAGAGTCGGGTCAGGAACAAGCCGGGTCAGAACCAAAGGAAATCGCACAGGAAACAAGCAGGACATGGGGGGAGCTGAAGACCAGTCAGCACTGAATGAGCACCGAGGTGCTCTTTAAATAGCCCGCCCAGCGCCAACAGGCGCGCCTGGGTCCTAGTGCCTGCCGGTGCTGTCATTGGTGACAGGTGCACCTAGGTCCTAATGCCCGCCTGCCTGTATGCCTTGTCGGGATCCTGCACATGCACAGATTCATGTGCTGCGGCGATCTTCTTGTACTCTGACACTTCTGTTTGAGGATGCCCCACAGATGCTCAATAGGGTTTAGGTCTGGAGACATGCTTGGCCAGTCCATCACCTTTGCCCTCAGCTTCTTTAGCAAGGCAGTGGTTGTCTTGGAGCTGTGTATGGGGTCGTTATGTTGGAATACTGCCCTGTGACCCAGTCTCCGAAGGGAGGGGATCATGCTCTGCTTCATTATGTCACAGTACATGTTGGCATTCATGGTTTCCTCAATGAACTGTAGCTCCCAGTGCCGGCAGCACTCATGCAGCCCCAGACCATGACACTCCCACCACCATGCTTGACTGTAGGCAAGACACACTTGTCTTTGTACTCCTCACCTGGTTGTCGCCACACACGCTTGACACCATCTGAACCAAATAAGTTTATCTTGGTCTCATCAGACCACAGGACATGGTTCCAGTAATCCATGTCCTCAGTCTGCTTGTCTTCAGCAAACTGTTTGCGGGCTTTCTTGTGCATCATCTTTAGAAGAGGCTTCCTTCTGGGACGACAGCCATGCAGACCAATTTGATGCAGTGTGCAGAGTATGGTCTGAGCACTGAAAGGCTGATCCCTTCAACCTCTGCAGCAATGCTGGCAGCACTCATACACCTATTTCTCAAAAACAACCTCTGGATATGACGCTAAGCACGTGCACTAAATGTCTTTGGTCGACCATGGCGAGGCCTGTTCTGAGTGGAACCTGTCCTGTTAAACCGCTGTATGGTCTTGGCCACCATGCTGCAGCTCAGTTTCAGGGTCTTGGCAATCTTCTTATAGCCTAGGCCATCTTAATGTAGAGCAACAATTCTTTTTTTTCAGATCCTCAGAGAATTCTTTGCCATGAGGTGCCATGTTGAACTTCCAGTGACCAATATTAGAGACTTAGAGTGATAAAACCAAATTTCACACACCTGCTCCCCATTCACACCTGAGACCTTGTAACACTAACGATTCACATGACACCGGGTAGGGAAAATGGCTAATTGGGCCCAATTTGGACATTTTCACTTAGGGGTGTACTCACTTTTGTTGCCAGCGGTTTAGACATGAATGGCTGTGTGTTGCGTTATTTTGAGGGGACAGCAAATTTACACTGTAATACAAGCTGTACACTCACTACTTTACATTGTAGAAAAGTGTCATTTCTTCAGTGTTGTCACATGAAAAGATAGAATAAAATATTTACAAAATGTGAGGGGTGTACTCACTTCTGTGAGATACTGTATAAATACCTATACAAAACAAAGATTATAACTGCAACCATTACTTGTCATGAGACCATTTTAAAGGCTCCCTAAGAAAAAAAAAGGCATTATACCTACCGGAGTATCGTGGATTGGTGACTGTGATAGAGAAAGCAAGGACAAGTCTGCTCCCTGTGGGGTAGCTGGCACAGGCTCTGCTGTAATTTTAATAATCTCATCAAGAGGTTTGAGTGTCTCCTCCTCTTCTTCATCAGTGCTTAATGAAAGAGCATGAAATGATTCATCACTGTCCACACTATCCCGGTGAATTCGCTGTAAGACTTTTTTTGAGCCATTAAAAGGACTGTTCGATGTAGAGCAGTCAGAATTCTTGGATTCTGAAGTGGCAGGTCTCATTGGAAGGAGAGGAAATTCAGATTCTAAATCACTGCTGCTTGCCTCTTCAGATTCTGCAAATGTCAGAAACATTTCAGTTGGAAACCAAGCTGTGAAGTTTGCAGCACTAACTGAGGCGTAGACGTTTTTTTTTTAAGCAGGAATTTCAGCCATATTCTTGCATGTACCTTTTCAATACTGGAACCATTTTGATTTCCTCTCCATCTTATGCATAAATCACCATTCATTTCTGGACAGGAGTGATTAAAGTCAAAAAGTCTAAACTTATCCTCCTTAATTGTCCTGGTGACCTATGTCACTGAACTGAAAGTGGTGGAAAACTCCAAAATGTTCTGGTGACAACTATCCACCTAGGAAGGACTTTTGTCCATTTAAAGAGATTTCCTTTCACTTTCTGTTGTGTTTACAGGACGGGAAATAAAAGGAAAAACTCTCCGATAAAGCAAAAACAAATAACAAATCTGGCAATGTTAAAGTGTAACTTCACTGCATCTTAGCACCATAAACCAAAGGCTGTTTAATTCATTTTTAATATTCAAAGTAAACTCACCCATCCATGTCTCCATGCTTTATTTTGCTGAGAAATTACACTGAAACACAGCGCCCCTCCCTAGCATTTCTAGTCGTAGCCATCTTGAGTAAGGGCATAAAATTAATGTAGCATTTACTTCATGGAATCCATCTGCCCTTAGCTCAGGCATGCAAGGAGGAGTGTGTGCTTAGCTAAAAAAAAAAAAAAAACCTTCCTCCCCCATGAAGGCCCCTGGGATGTAGGACATGATTTGCCTGGCATGGAAACCAGGCAGTAATTGAAGAAATGTAAAAAAAAAAAAAAAAAAAAAAAAAAAAAAACCACTAGCAGCATAAGGATTAACCTCTTCATGCCGGCCGAAAGCAAATGTGTGGCCTCTCGGCGTCTGGGCCTGGACGCCAAGCGGCCGCACATTTGTGTTCTATTAAAAAAGAACATATAAGCTGAGAGCGTGCACCCTGTGCGCTCCCATCACACATGTCCGGTACTCACAGAAAGGTCCTGATCTCCTCTTTCGATTGGGACCTTTTCCGATCATGTGACCGCTGTGACGACGTGTCACAGCGGTCACATGACCCTAAACCCCACCCCGCCTTCTGAAACCCTTAAAGGGCTGGGAGGCGCTGGCGTGAAGGGGTTAAAAATAATCAATGTTGACTGAGAGGATGAAGTTCCACTTATCCCAATTTTATACTGCATTGGTCTCCAAACTCTGGCTTGGATGCAGCCTTTATCTGGCCCTCGGGGCACTATTCCTGCCATTGAGAGCCACAATGAAGCACTATTCCTTTCACAGACACCAACAGTGGGGCATAATTCCTTCCACTGAGACCAATGATGAGGCCCTATTCCTCCAACTCACACCAACAAAACGGCACTATTCTTCCTCCTGACCTCCAAAGCCTGAAGTGGTGTTACTCCAACTGACACTAGGGCAATTTATATTCCCATTGGCCAAAGTTCAGCCCCCCTAAAATCTGAAAGGCAAAAAACATGCCTATGTTTAGAACGTTTGGAGACCCCCCCCCCCCGCTATACTGTAAAGATTAAATTGACTGCAGAATAGGTGAACTAAAGGCAAAGCTTTTTTGATGGGCTAGAACCACTGTCAGGATTTTATTAAGGGCTGTGTGCCTGTAAGGGAGAGTCAGTCTAATTGTTCTGTTTACCAATTTCCACAAAAGTGAGGGTAAATTCAAAATTTTGAGTTTCCATCTAGAACAAGAATAGAGGAGAAATACTCCAAGGTAGACACTTGTTTTTGTGACAGCTGTTTGAGAGACGATCAAACAACCGACTTCTGTTGAGGGAGGAGGACCACACTCTGATCAAAATTCGGCCAGTCCCTAACCCACTGGCCAAATTTTGATTAGTGTATAACTACCTAAATGAAGCCAACACATCCAAGGGCTGGTAAGCTGAAATATATTACATGTTAGTTCTTGTGTTTAGTTATCCTTTAAAACCAAAATAGTTCTTTACTTAAGAACTTACATACCTAAAGTAGTTTTGACATTTGAAGTTTCCCTGTTACTTACAGATGATCCATTCACCTATAAAATAAATACAAGGAAGTACCATGAAAAGTTTTTTGATCAGTCAAATCAGTCAACAAAAATACACAAAATACTCTATATAAAACTATTCTACAGGTTTACACCCAGTGCAAGCATATTAGATAATGCAACAAATATTGATACAACTAGCCAGTGAAGGTACAACTAAATCAAATTAATTTTTATCATTTTATTTCCTTCGTATTCCCATTAATTGGGTGAACCTCACTTTATTGATGGATCTCTAAACACATATAGAGCTATATCAAGTTAATTACTTAAGTACTAATTGTACTACTAAACGCCAATAAGGTGTGGATTTTTCAAATGAGAAACATATTCTGGTTCATACATAGGGCCTCCTACAAACACTTCCACATAAGGAATGGTGGGTACCTTGTCCTCCTGTAATCTACATCAATTCACTTTATTGCCCTCTGCACTGCTACGGATAAAACACTGTAGTCATATCTGAACTGATGTGTGCTAACCAGCAGTGCATCCAATCGCAGAGGCCAGACCTTGCAAAAAAAAAAAAAAAAAAAAAAAAAAAAAAAAAAAAAAAAAAAAAAAAAGGTAGAGAAGGGGCCAAACTGTGTTGCTACAATGGAGTTTCAAACAGTTGTCCATTAGCTGAGAGGTGGTTTCCTTTAAAGGGTCCAAGCACACCAAGACAATCTGTTGTGGTGCACCAACATGCATTATGGAGTGCATTAAATTGGTTCTAAACTCAAAAGGTTTTTTGTTAGGCTAGGTTCACATCTGTGTAGCTCTGCAAGCCTCCCAAAATGTAGGGAAAATGTCTGTGCAACATTTTAGAAATCGTAGCCCGCACAGGAACAGCAAGTGCGGAGCAGTTCCCACTGCGGGAGCAATTTCCAGTGCGGGGTGTGCCATTAGCATTAAAGGAACCAGCATGCATCCAGCAAATATTTCTATACGGGTGGTTGTGGCTGCCGGAACACTATTGTCGGTCGGCTTGTAGTTCTTAATGTGGACGATCTAGGAAGTTCGTTGATTCTGTCATTAGGTAACTGCCTGCGTGTATGAGGAGACAGCTTACACCGACTGCCTGCAGGAACTACGTGATCACCCAAAAAATGAGTGGGCAGTGCTGATGGGGGACTCCCGAAAAGTGATTATACAGCTTCATTTTATACTTACCTGCTTTGTGCAATGATATTGCACAGAATGGTCGCTTTTCTCCTCTTCTGGAGTCCCCTGCTGGCACTCTTGACTCTTCCTCCCTACCAAGTGCCCCCACAGCAAGCTGTGTGCTATGTGGGCATGCTTCCAAGACGGCTGTGTGAACCGACAGACAGACACACACAGCGGCTTGGCCCTGCTCCTGCCTCAAAGGATTTGACAGCACCAGGAGCCAATGGCTCCCACTGCTGCCTCTGGGCCCTGTGAATGAAGAAAGAGGAGAGCAGAGCTGCTAGTAGGGACAGTGCTAGAAAAAAAGTGGTGACTGGTAAGTGTATAATAGGGAGTGGGGAAAGGGAGAGGCATAGAAATGGAAAGGTTACAAACCTTTAGTCTTTATAACCACCTTAAGGTGCCGCTCTGAAATATTGTTGCACGGACCAGGTAAGTATAACTTTTTTTTTTTTTAATTTTAGCAAAAAAAAAACAGAGAACTTAAAACTACTTTAACACACCACAAGGAATAAAAACAAAAAAAGTGTGACTCACTAATCTATCCAGTAAAATGCTTGTTTTTTTTTTTACTCGACTTATAACCATGAGCCAACTGACCTTCAATAGCTTTTGTGAATATAGGTTGCATTTTCTAAGGTAGGTGAATGTAAACCTAAACAACACTCCAGTGATGAAAACATAAGAGAAAAGAAAAAAAAAAAACCCACAAAAAACAAAAAGATAAAAACAGCAAAGCCACATGCAACCATACCTTTGAAAGAAATTCATGTCCCTTTGTTTTCCCCAGACTAACTGCCAGATGAGTGCTTTTCTTCTTTGTTATTCCTCCATGGGACCGGTTATGGGGTCCACTGGAGTCTACTAAGGTATACGGTTGCTGAGGACCATGACCTTTTTGTCCACTTACTGGAATTTGGCTCCTTTCATCAAAAAATTGCTGATTATGAGATTTTCCAGGAAATGACAGTGGTCTTACATTTTTAGATTGTAAACTTTTAAAGGACGAAGGGCTTAGGGTGACAATCTCTGTACTTTCAGAGCATTTTTTAAACCCTTCTTTTAAATGAACTAGTGTGCTGACGGGTAAAGTTAGTCTTTCAATCACCACCTTAGGAGATAGTACATTCATGCCACATTTTGCACAAAAAGCCTTAAAGTTTCTTACAATTGTTTGATTGTCTCTTTTTAGAAGGGCTTCTATGATGGGTCTTTTGCTGGGTGACTGTGCTGGGCTTTTCCTCCGTCTTTTGAGTGGTGGAATTTTATTGAAATCATAGGAGTTAATATCTTGGGTCTGTAGTTTTAAGTCCTTATTGCCAATGAAGTTTTTAAGTGCAGAACAAAGGTCATCTGTTGGACAGAAGGCTCAATGAGTATGCAGTAGTTATAAAGAAGATTACAAAAATGGCTGGGGTCTATAATACACTTACCTGGTTTGCAAGTTGGTTTAAAGAAATCTGTTATATGTTGCTTTCTGAAAGGAAAAGAACATATTAAACATTACAAAGAAAAAAAACACAAAACAAAGCTATTCCTTGTCAGCACTCTGTTCTGTTTTCTTAGAAAAAAAGTGCATCTAAACCACATCACAAAAACAAAAATTGTGATATTGCAGCTTGCCAGGTGCATTAGATTCCTTTGATCAGACTAAGAACATTTTCAGCAAGTTCAGAAAATAGCTCTTGGTCTTAACAGAACGGCAGTGTGCTTGTCACTTGATATGAGCTGAAATGACAGCATAAACTAGGTTATCTTTTTTTGTTTTTAAACTACTAATCCCCTCAATCAACCCTGTAACATAGATGAACAAGGGCAGAAGTGTTTGGAGTTTAGCCCGTGTGACATCAATAGCTCCTTCCATAGATACTATGGAGAAATTAGTGTAGATATAAATAGGCAAGGAAGCGTGTTATTCACAGCATTACAGGGTGAAAGAAAGAAAAAAAAAAATCCTGAGAGAAATTTTCTGCAGTCACTACATTAAAGGACTGGTGGGCTGCAGTACATAAAACATTTTTGTTTTGGGATTTACAGTACCTTGAAAAAGTATTCATTCTTCGTGAAATTTTCCACATTTTGTCATGTTACAACCTCAAAATGTAAAATGTATTTTTATTGGGATTTTATGTGACAGACCAACACAAAGTGGCAAATAATTGTGAAGTGGAATGAAAATGATAAATGGTTTTCAAATATTTTTTTTACAAATCTGAAAAGTGTGGCCCTGAAAATACTTTTTCAAGGTACTGTACATATGCTTTAATAATGACAACAATACAAAGCAGATTTAAAACAAAATATTTTTTAATATTGAAAACAATATAAAGGAAACTTAAGAAAAAAACGTTTTGTTTTTTTTTAGTCTGTATCGACAGGTTCATGTCAACTAGGTATTGCACATTCCTATACAAATCTAAATGAATTCTAAATTTGTTTGAAGCAGGAAAGAAGGAGATCAACTTGCAGGTCAAATACACAATTCCAAAACCCCACACGCTGACACAGGTAATCCTTTTGTGCAATAGCAAGGAATTTTCCCCCGCCAATCAGGCCTCGGCAATTACAGCTTTTAGCTGGCATCCAGCAAAAAAAAAAAAAAAAAGAAGAAGAGGGAAGGATGAAAACACTATTGCAGGAATTCAATAAACCACCACTTTTCTGATGGTAATGCCCTTTAAAATGGCCTATGTCAGATTCAAAAATCCCTGTGGTCAGTTTCAGTAGCTCTACTGACATGTGGCAGATTTAGACAAGTCGTAATCATGCCACTTACAGAAAAAATGGCACCATTGCTGTATGAAATTCAAACAGAAATACCTCCAGTTCGAAGCTGGTGTACAAACAGGCAGAGTGCCCGTCTCTGTACGCTCTATAGTACGGTTGGCATGTTTGCCACTGCTTTCCCCATCTCCCATCACTGGCTTTCAAGGACGCTGTTGGCTACACAGCCCACAGGTTTATGTCAACCAGTGTTGCTGAAAGTGGGCGCAGCTTCATAGTGAAGCTCAGACTAGGTCTCCATCTGTTCTTCTTATGATTGATAGCAGGTGAAAGGAGGATTTAGCCAACAGCAGGCTGTCTATTGGGTATGGGTCTACTCACTGGGGAGAGGACCTGATGACATCAGGCTCTGCCTGCTCAGCTACAAAAACCTCTTGGTTACTCCACTGTCTGTGTGACAGCTGCAGTGGTACGTAGGAGCTCAATGGAACGTCCATCGGGGTCATGGATTTGTCACCCAGACAGACATTTGCACTGTGGAAGCAAGATGGAATTCTAAAGAGTATCTTAGACACACTTTCTGAATTCCCACACATACATTCCAGTTAGAAATAATGTGGAAGTTATTATACAACAGTCAAATCATGAATAAGAAGGGATAAGTAAAAAAAAAACACAACCCCATATAAGGCTTGTTACAGAGGCTTCATGTTCCAAAGCAAAATTAATCACCTATAAGTTTAAGGCAATCACACAAAACGATTGCTCATTCATGGAAATCCTCCATGGTAAACCTTTCTAAAGCACTTTCCTGAATACATGGAACCATGGTGAATGCAAAATGTTTAGACATTTCAAATGACACCCATGAAAAATTCTTGAAGGTGTGGTTGTCATGGATATGATACTCCCAACTAAACTTGAGAGCATTGCATCTTTGAAACAGGCCTATTCACACTCTACTCCCTCCCCATCCCCCACACTTCCTTATCCTTTTCTCTTTCCTAATCCACTTTTCTTCTTTAAGATTCTGGAACCTATTGAAATCAGAGGTGCCTCAGTATCAAAGACAGGCGATTGTCAATATATACTAGAATCTCTATTTTCTTTGTAAACGAGAAAAATCATTTGTCACCATTCATTTTCCGATATCCCACATTGTTACAAACAACGTCTATCAACTCAACAGTATCTCATCAATGTGATGTCAAAAATTATTATTCTGAGGCTTTTTAAAGACATATATTGCAGGTCCCAATAAAAACAATTGAACAAGAAATATAAAAACAAATGTTTGCCAGGCGACTGGAGGTGCAAAAGCAAATGATTAAAAATAGAACACAAACAAGCTCTATTCCCATAGGTCCAAATACGTGACTAAACTGAAAAGCCGCTATACAGGCGTATGAGTCCAAGAGAACAAAACAAATTCTCTTGGCATTAACTCACCATGTTTGGAGGAAGAAAAATGCTGACTATAACCCCGAGAAAACCATCCCTACAGTCAAGAATGGAGGTGGAAACACTATGCTTCAGGGTTTTTTCTTTAAAAAGAAGTGACAGGCCAACTTTGCCGCATTGAGGGGCCAATAGACAGGGCCATGTATTGTAAAATCTTGGATGAGAACCTTCTTCCCTCAGCCAGAACACTGAAGATGGGTTGTCGATGGGTCTTCCAGCATGAGAACCCAAAACATTCCGCCAAGGCAATAAAGAAGTGGCTCAAGGAGAAGCACATTAAGGTCATGGAGTGGCCTAGCCAGTCTCCAGACCTTAACCCTTTAGAAAATTTATGGAGGGAGCTAAAACTTAGAGTTGCCAAGCAACAGCCAAGAAAACTTAAGGATTTAGAGAAGATCTGTAAAGAAGAGTGGACCAAAACCCCTTCTGAGATGTGTGCAAACCTGGCAACCAACTACAAGAAATGTCGTACCTCTGTGCTTGCCAACAAGGGTTTCTCTACAACTTTTACTCACTGAACTGCAACTCAATTTATAACATTTGTATCCATGTGTTTTTTTCTGGATTTTTGGTTGATATTCTGCAGTGTGGATTTGATTTAAATCACGATTTAAATCACTAGTCAGTAAGGCTTGATTTAAATCATAGTTTTCTACATAGACTAATTCTTGCTGGTATAACTTTAATATGCAAGTAGATGAAGATTTTAAGAAGAACTTTTCATATTAGTTTTTTTATCCCCAGTTTAATAGGTTAATCATTCATATTTGGTCAACTTTTCTGTTGTACTTAGGAAGGAGAAAAATAATCATTACCTTAATAACAATTAAAATAGATTTATTCAACTGAAACAATAACATTCCAGCATATGTTATTTGCTTAAACAAACATCCATGTTTGTTAACTAATTTGGCTAAACAAAATATATATATTTTAAGAAACTTAGACTGTCAGCCCCTTCCTCCTCACATTTAGTTTCACTTTCTTCTTGTGCAGATCTATTCCACTCCAAACAATCAGAAAAATATTGTTTCTATTCTATTCACTGAACTTCTTGAAACTTAGCACTGAAGGGGTTGATTCTGTATTCATAGGTTTGTAGAAGTTAGGATGAAGGTCTTTTTCTTAACTCTGTTCATGTTATAACATTTTTGCTGTGAAGAAGAGGCATGTGATCTCCGCTGAGTCAAATTCAGTTTTGAGAACTGCAAAAGTAAACCAAGTATCTGTGATAATATCTTGTAGGCAGAGAAACTGCCCAATAATCTTACAAAAACCTCTGGAAGAGCATGACATTGTGAATGGATTAATGGCATTTATTTACTAAAAAAAATTAAACATATACAGCCTTATTCTACATAATTAAAAAACTAATCTTTATTTCATGATGGATTAACCTTTGGATGGTAATATATTTTCCTCAAAAAGCATTTTATTCAAAAAAATCCAATTTAAATCAAACAAATCCGATTTAAATAAAAAAAATCTGATTGTTTTGATTTTTTTTTTTTAAAAATCATTGATTTTTATCCACCCTGATATTCTGCCTCTATCATTTAAAATACACCTATGATAAAATGTATATATCCTTCATTTCTTTGTGAGAAAACTCAAAATCTGCAGGGGATCAAATAATTATTTTTCCCACTGTATTCCCCCCCCAAAAAATTTTTTTTTTTTGCATTAGAATTAAAAAAGTGTATAATTTTTTTTTTTTCACACAAATAGAGCTTTATTTGGGTGGTATTAACTCGCAGCTGGGAGTTTTATTTTTTGCGCTATAAACAAAAAAAAGCAAAAAAAAAAAGTTCTGTTTCTATTATAAAATTTTGCAAACAGATAACTTTTCTCCTTCACTGATGTGCATTAATGAGGCTGCACTGATAGGCAGCACTGATGGGCGCTGATAGGCGACACTGATGAGGTGGCATGGATAGGCGACTCTGATACGCACAATGATGGACACAGGTGGGTGGCACACTAGTCACTAGGCACAAGTTGGCAACACAGGTGGGTGGCACTACTGTGGGTGGCACTACTAGGCACAAGGTGGGTGGCACTACTAGTCACAAGTGGGTGGCAAGGCACAGGTGGGGTGGCACTACTAGGCACAAGTTGGCAGCACTGGTGGGGGGCACTGCTGAGCACTGATCATCTCTGCCCTGATGATCGGTGACAATCCGTCCTGACAATTGCCGGTTATCAGCAGTACTTTCCTCTTGCCGTGACAGTGTGAGGAAAATGCAGCTGATAACAAGCAAGTGCATGTACCGGTGATCTACTGTGTCATTGGACACAGCTAATCACGTGGTAAAAGGCTGCTGTGATTGGCCTTTTACCATATCACGTGATCAGCTGTGTCCATAGGACACAGCAATCACGGAAATGGGCGCATGGGAAGGAGCATTCTGGGAGGACATCATATGACACCCTCCCAGAACTGGACAACCACACTGTAGGTCATTCGGCTATAGCGCAGTTGGCAAGTGGTTAATATGCACCCCATACTACAATGGCAGACTTACCTATGGATACCTACAGCAGTGCATTGTCACCGCTGAGAGGAATTCCAACTTAATCTGTTTCTTTTTTTGGGAGTTCGCAGGCTCCATCCATTTGAATGTCCGAGCCACGATGACGTCACTCCTGCACACACCATGGCCGCGGTGCAGCTCTCTCAATGGAAGGCATGCCGCCTACTGAGAGCATATACACTAGTGACGTTACCGGCTGCTACACATGTATGTTTTTAGGAGATGACATGTAAACTACCTACCAGTAAGACCTGTCATAGGCTCACCTGTATATAGTGGATAAAGGGGTTTACTACCACTGAGCCCTGTGTGCAGGAAGCCCAATATAAATGACGTCAGAGACACCAATTCCCGTGTAGAGGACCGGGGCTCCTGTATAAAGACCACCCAGCTGTCTTCTCCCCCCACACACCTCCCTCAGGTGACAGCAGACTTTCTGCTTACCTGTCACCATGGGTCCCCTCTGTGCCCCTGGAGGCCGCTCCCTCCTCAAAGGACGGAAACTTCAGAGCACGGCGAGTCATCCCCAAGCGAACTTGAACAGCCCGGCTTATCGCTCTGCAAAATATCCCGCCATCACCACACACTCCGCTTCCGGGTACCAACACAGGGCTGCCAATCAACCGCAGAGACAATCCAACACAGCTAGACACACATAGCGGAGCGCCCGTTCTACGCCATGGTTAGTGAGGCAGCACCACCTGCTGTCCAAACTCTGCACTGCCATCCCTGTACAGCTGAATCCTGTGTGCAGTCCTATTCTTCATTATTTACAGGGTTAGACGGAAAAAAAAGGAAGCGCTACACGATGTGTGTGTGAAAGTGACGACATGTTTCACATTGAAAGTGATGTAACATTGTTTTGCTTTCGCTGTGTGATGAGACACCTAGCTAACAGGTGGGAAGCCTCATTTTTGTCATTCACTGGGTGCGCTGCTAGTAATATGGAGTCATGTCAGCGATTACTGAGCTTACAGAGGGCAGGGTTGCCACCTCATCCCTTGAGTTGGGTTCACACATATACAGCGTGGCATATCCCCATTCCTGTGCAAATCGTATGCGAATTCTGTGCGGTGTGATTTGAGACATACATTTTGTATGGCTGAGAATCACACCGCATCAAAAAGGTGCAGGACCCTTTTTTGGGCTTCATTAGAGTCGGATCACATGGGTATTCACACCCTCAGCGGTTCGCATGAAAGGGGTGCAATTGTGATGTGTGTGGAATTCGCACAGTAACCACTGCAAATGCTGCACTGCATCAATGTGAACCCAGGCTTAAACCCAGATATTAATTACACCGGTTCTGTGGCTGATTAACCAGTTGCCAGCCGGCCGCTGTATATAAACGGCGGAACGGTGGCAGTCCAGGGGTGGGTTACCGTTCATAAATGACACCCACCATTATGGACTGTGCGCGTTCCCTAGGACCACGCAGCACTGTGATCCGGTGCCCGCTGAGTACTCCGGACACAGTGGAACACCAATCATCATACGGGACCTCTGTGCGAGGTCCTGATCATGTGATCACTGATTGGCCAATCAGTGATCACGTGCAGGGACTGCAAGAATGTGAGTGGAATTGATTTCTATTAAATAAAGGAGATTTTGGCTTACTAAATACTGCACTATGGAGGTTCTCTGTTGTTGCTCACTGTGTTGGTGAGATACATATTTCGCTGAATATTCTTCCTGAGTGACCTGAGACTTGTATGAGAGGAATTACAGGTGAATTAATACCAACCAGGATTGAAAAGGATCCAGGGTGATCCTGAAGGCTTTTTGGCCATTTGGGGTCGCCGGAAGGAGGTATTGTAGCCAAAGTGGAAGAAGTATGCTGACACTTTCATGGATTTTAAACACCATTTGCACATTGCATGATTATATGAAGCATCCATCATTTTAGTTTTGTATTTATGGACTATTAGAGTATTCGGTGTGTTTATATGTGATTTGTAGTGTGGTCACATTTGGCACTTATCACTTGTTTTCTATCCCCGTATCCCTAGGGGTCTTTGTCAATGTTTTGTTGTGGATATCACTTTTATAGGTCACCCAGGTGACCATAACACATTGTTTTGGGCACTGTATTGTGTGTATATTTATATATGTACATATATTCGTATATATTTAATTTATTTGGGGAAGCACTACACTATTTTTTATTATTTGTATACACTGTTTGGGTATCAGTTTAGAGTGTTGGCAGCTTTACATTAGGGTACACTTCCTTTAGAGCGTAGGAGGATTTTGCTGTATATAAGAAAAAGTTGTCATTATATCAGCATACAGAAGGCGGGGAAGATGAGAAATGGAGCCTCACTGAATGCAAATAGGTACTCCACATGCAGGGCTCTCGATGGAGTCCAGCATAGGACTTTTTCATTTATATGACAAAAAAAAAAAAAAAAAAAATCCCAGTGGTGAATAAATACCACCAAAATAAAGCTTTATCTAATGCTAAAAAATTAATATGGGTACAGTGTTGCATGACCACACAATTGTCATTCAAAGTGTGATAGCGCTGAAAGCTGAAAATTGGTCTGGACAGGGAGGGGGTAAAAGTGTCCGGACTGGAAGTGGTTAAAGTGGTAATTAAACTCACTTGGTGCCTTATCTGCATTAAATTAGCCTCAGAACTGTGTAATTATTAAGTCCTCATGCAGACTGGATGGTTTTACAGCTGCTGGTTTGGGCTTTTGACAGCCAATAAACCCCATGCACAGGCCATGCGCACACAGGCTGTAATCAGCGGTTTTCGGCTGGGGTATTTTTTGGCTGGAAAAAAAAACCCAGGACTACTGGGTTTCTAGTAGAGTTTTTTTTTTTTTTAGCTGTAAAACCGCTCTAATGCTGAAAAATGTGGTATATCGTAGAAAACAGGCGGTTTTTGACTTTTACAAGCAAAAAGAAACATTTTCTCTAGTAAAAAAGCATGAAAAAACTTGGCAAAACGCTGAAATGTGACTTTACACAGCTACTGTTACCAGCGTTATTAAAACGCCCCGTGTGCATAGAGCCTAATGTGTTCGGTTTTACCCACATGGAAGATATTTGAAATAGATTTTAAAAATATTCTTCCCAAATATCTTGCCATATATTTGAAATACTACAATTTTGGCTGTGTTCAATGTATTTCAATAAATGTGTATATATATTGTAAGTCTTTAAAAATACATTTTAATCTACATTTTTGGAATGCATTTACAAATCTATGTAAAAATATATGTTAAAATGACTTTGTGTATTTAAAAAATATATTTTATAAAATATCTTGTAATATATAAAAAACACATTTCAACATGTAATTATATATATATATATATATATATATATATATTATTGAATATGGACAAAATTGTAGTATTTCAAATATATGTCAATATATTTAGGAAGAAATATTTTTCAAATATATTTTTCTTCCATGTGGGTAAAAGGATGAGGTGGAAACCCTCAAAGACGGCACATTTTTGGTGCTCACTTAGCTGGTGCCTCTGTGGCTAAAGTTGCCAGTTTATTTGCCATGTTGCGAGGTACAGTACCAAAGGTTATGACGGCATGCACAGTTTCTGGGAAAACATCATCTGATAGTGTAAGCGTGATCGGCATGCTCAGCTGACTGAAAGAGACAAAAGGACATTGCGCAGTTTTGTAACCCAGAATAAGAAAAAAACTGCTGCAAAAGTGATTGCAGAGCTCAATCTTGGTCCCATGAAGACTGAGATTGAGCTCTGCAGTCACTTTTGTAGCAGTCCCCGCCTGGTCCCAGGCATTGGTGAGCATGCCCTTGGCTAAAATACCCCTAATGCATGGGCATGATAGGCCCCACCCACATGCTGCCATGTTGGTGTCAGGAAAAAAGATTACTCTGTGTTTCAAGACAGTGCATTAAGCCATTCAAATCATTGCTTTTCATCTCTCTGGCCAGATGCACATCCAAAACCACTGATGTACCGTTCACATATAGCTTTTTTTATACCGCATTCAGCTGTTTCAGGCTGTTTGTCATTCATCAAAGCAGGGTTCTTTGATGAAAGCCTTGCCTTCTGTGGAGTAGAGCTTGGGACCAAACAAGACAGTATAATCATACAGGTTATGGTGACAAGGGAATATGGCAATCAAAAAGCGCTCCCTCAAATCAGTACGTAGCCCACAACATGAAACTAAGAGCATTTTGACAGATCAACAGGTATTTTTCTGTGCATGCAGGGTCTTTGAAGGGACAAAACATGGGACAATGTACAGGTATTGCAGTTATTTACTGCATATTTTTGTTTTGTTTTTTTCATCCACACATATCTTTAAAGGTATACTGTTATTAGCAGATTATAGTCATTCCTGCATGGCTCGGGGGAGGACGGCACATAACTCCTTTGATGAGAGGAGGCACAAGACAGTTGGCTTAGGGGACCAACATACATAAATCCGACATTGGAAACAAGCCAAACAAAGCTGTATTGTGAGCAACATACATTATGGAAACGTATGAAATGGAATTGTTTTTTTATTTAAAGAAAGATAAATAGATTTGCTATACATTTTTTTTTTTTTTTTTTTTTTTTAAAGTTTACATTTAGATTAATTTCTTTCTACTACATGTAGAAATCGAGAGGTTAAAAATTAAAAATATTTGGGTTGTATCTTCTTTTTGATGTCTGCAATAAGTGGGCTAACTGGCAAATACAGGCATACCTCGGTTTGCGAATTTAATGCGTTTTCCAAGACATTTCGTATTGTGAAAAATTCGTAAACCGAAACACAGTTTCCCATAGGAATGCATTGAAAAACAATTAATCTGTTCCAGAGGTCAGAAAAAAGTAAAAAAAAAAAAAAAGTCTTTTATCTGTTCAAAACTCTTTATGAAGTGCACTTTAAAGGCATAAATACTGTACAGGGACATGATTAAAAATTTCCAGAATGGCTCTAAAACTCAATGCAAAAACCGCTCCAACACACCTCCACACTCGACACCACGTGCTACCCACAACATGTATGGGGCGGGTGCTATAAACCTCCCAGACGCAATGCATCCTGGGGAAACTTGCTTCGTATTGTGAAAAAAGTTATAAACCGAGGAATTATTTTCAATGGATTTTCATTCGTAAACCGAAAATTACGTTAACCGAGGCGTTCATAAACCGAGGTACACCTGTACAGACATGATCCACATGTCCATTGTGTTGCATGTTAACATTCATTGCATTAAGGCAGGCAATTCAAATTAATTGTCTACCGATGCATCCTACCTTGTCAAAAAAAGCATGACCTGTTTTTTTCGAATGCACTGCAACGCATTACTCTGCACTGCCATGAGTTGTGGTGTGCTGTAATGCAGTTGTTGCCCCATGCATTGGAGTGCCAAAGTAAAATAAATGGCAGTGCAAAGCAGCAACACATGTTACAACACAGACACATAAATGGGCCCTTAGGTTACTCCACTCCTGGGCTTCTCCTTACCCTTCAGAATGTATTGTCCAAGGTAGGGGTAGGCAATTTTTATAGAACACCAGGGAGCAGTGCAAAAAAAAAAAAATCCTAGCAAGGTCCCATTAAAAAGTACTCAAGGTTTAAAGAGTTCAGGGGTTAGTAGTACAAA